GGATTTTGATCCATAATGTATCTAGAACAATGCATCAATAACATCAGTAAATCATGCTATTATTACATCAGAAACATTAATTCAGGGTCTATTCACATCCATGATAGACTTCTGAACCAGCACCTTGATAAACTCCAAAATAATGCTGCTAGGCTTGTAATCTCATATAAAAAATAAAAAAATTGCAAGCCATGCCTTATGGAATATGAAGCAGTTCATCAAACCAAATGCATCAATATTATGGTAGTTACACATTGTCTTCAATGTTAAATCCATACCATTTCTTGGCCTGTAGCATTTTTATGTGGACGTATATTGTCGTCGGACCAAAAATGTCGGACAAAATGGCCGCCCTTCATACGAAAATATTGTAGATCTATGGTATATCAAGGTTGTGGACCCTCTAGAGGACACAACTTTGATCTTGTTTTGATGAAACTTGAAATACATCTTTATAACCCAAAGATCTTGGTTCCTTTCGATATTCGCGCATATCAGATTGCAACTTCCTGAATTATGGCCGTTGATTGTACGAAAAATCATGTTTTTAGCTTGTGGTCCCTCTAGAGGTCACAATTTTGATCTGATTTAAAAAAACGTTTTTGAGTACATCCCTGTTACACCCTAATGATGGTTGAGTTCGAATTTCATGAAACTGACACCAAAATTTCTTGGACAAAATGGCCGCACCTTGTACGTGTAAAAGTATGTAATACCAAGGTTGTGGACTCTCTAGAAGTCACAATTGTTATCCGATTTTGACGAAACTTAAAATATATCTTTTGGTCTCCAATGTCTCAGTCCCAAATATTTGCGCATTTCAGACTATAACTTCCTGGATTATGGCCCCTGATTGTACGAAAAATCGCTGCTTTTTTTTTTAGCTTGTTCTCTATCCATCTCTTGCAAAATGTGGGCATATCTTGCCTGGCAACCGCTGGATTTTTAAAATAATGATGATCTTAGTCTTTATAATCATGAAGAGCTCAAAATGGTGATAAAGAATCTGTAGACTGATGTACCTGTAATTTTTGTACGTGATTTCATCATTCCTCCTCAAAGTCATGAATATATGTGAAAACATGGCAGAGTATGTTAACTCATACACTTTTTTTAAAATCTAGACACAAAAAGTCAACATAAATTGCCCTTCAAAAGGGGGGAAAAGGGAAAGAAAAAAAGATGATCTACATTCATCTGTCATGAAATCATGGGAAATAAGTACCAATCTTAGATGTGTTGAAAGGGTCATACTAGGTAGAAATGGCAGGAATGAAAGTATACTTACATTTGCTTAAGCTAGGTAACCAGTTTAACACTGTGTATTATGCCACAGAACAGGAATTAAAAAAGAGAAATAATCAAATGCACAGCTGGATTTCAAACAATTCAGATCTACCAGTAATCAGACTACTGAATAATTTAATAAAATATAAATAGTTTCTTCAAATGTTCTTGAGATTGGAATTCTGAAACAGAAAGGTTGCTCAGTACCAACATATGGTATATTTAAGAGATGATGACATAATAACATAAATGTAGGAGATAAGTATTCTCTGTTTTCAAATAAGAGTGGATTCATTAACATTTAACCTATCCACATAGTAGTATTGTTTTTACAATGGAAATTGATATCTCACTTTTCTGGAATTAATTAAATACGCTGCAACCCCAGTTTATCTTTCTTTAGTATGGGACCATTTAGAATAGCCTGTATCAAAAATACAAAGTCTGAACTTCCAACTCAAAAAGATCTGGTTTTGAAAATCGTGAATTATTTCTCATTCAAAATGAACTATCAAGATTCTTTATAGACTCGGGGCTGGGGTAATGGTAATGGAATGTAATCATTACATTTTTTAAGTAATGGTCATGTAATGAGTAATGGAAGATTTCAAAAGTAATGAGTAATGGAAATGTAATTAATTACATTCCAAAAATCATGTAATGGTCAATTACATTTCAATTACATTTTATGGCATATATAAATATTTCCAATATGACAAGCCTCAAATTTTATAGCACCAAAGAAGTAATTAAGTGTATCTGACACAAATCCAATTCATTATAATTCTAAAAAAAAAGATTTAAATCAGTTTTAGAAAATTATAAGAAAAATAAGAAGGCATTAAACATTTTCTTTTATTACTTTTTATGTAGGAACCTTTATTAGACATGTAACCTAAGAAGTGGATTTCTGATAAGATGTATATTATAATCAAAGATTAATACTAATTTGCAGCCAATCACTCAGTCAATCAATCAATCAATCAGTCAGTTAGATTAAAAGACAATAAATAGTCTTACTGCACTTTAATTTTAATCTCAAGGTAACAAGTGACAAACCAAACAATGACCTTCAAGTATCTCATCATTTTATGGTTACTTAAAACTAATATATATTTTGTTTTAGACTTAGAGTCATGCTGAATAATTTACCAGTTATTATACAATATATTATAGAAAAACTATTTGGACTGATTCAATTTTTTTAAAAATTACTTAAAGTTGCAATTTCATATTTTTAAGTTATATTTTTAAAATGTATTAAAATAAAGCCTTAAAATAAAGCCTTCAAACGTTTGAAGATAGCTTTTCCATTGGGGGAATAGGAAAACAAGGGAGGTAATTGTGTTATTATTTCCGGTGTCAAGTGTGGGAAATAATGCCTATGATCGTATAATAGTGAGTTGACAACCTATTGAGCAAAAGACATAGAAATAATTATGTTTTAACTTTCTTAGAAAATATGAAATTCTCGCTTTAAAAGAAAATACAGTTAATTAACTATAGTTTTGATTCATTTTTCAAGTCATACAGTGAAAATGTCAGTTTTTATCACCACTGCCCGTCACTATAAAATTTTCCTTGATGTTAAGTGAATCAAGGGATTATTTTTAGTTTGATTTTGTAGGTACTTCATGGCAGAAAAATAAGGTTGTCTTTTTAATTTCTATTGAAAATGTTTTTTTATTTATATAGTCATAAAGTAATGGGTAATGGTAATTTAATTACTTTCAATGTAATGGGTAATGGTAATTAATTACATTGCTAAAAATGAGAAAGTAATTGTAATGATTACATTTAAAAAGTAATGGTAATGTAATTAATTACATTGGCAATGTAATGGCCCCAGCCCTGACTCATATAATTATATAAAGTGTAATACCCATTTTTAAACACACGCTATTGTAAAGTAAAATACACATTCTTATACCCTCCACTGTAAAGTATAATACACTTCACTATAAAGTATAATACCCATTCTTATATACACTCAAATATAAAACATTTTGGGGTCCAACTAATCACCAACATGAGTGTTTTTGTCAATGTCACCCAAAGTACTGCCGAAAGTGACCGACAACAAACAATATGTTATAGATATCTATATTCTACAAATCAATTCAAAATTTGAATGATTTCATAACAGTATGAACAAATTATCAATAACTGAAATTTGAAAATAGGTCCCAAAATTGAAAATTTTAATTCTTTTGAAAAATGTTAGGACTGTAATGTTCAGGAATTGCTAAATAACAAATGCAAAAATATTATCTTAGGGGAATGTAGAAAAGGAAAAAGAAATTTGTTTGATACTCCTTTGATTTTTTGCACAAGGTAGGTTCACCTTTAATTCAAGGTTTCCTAAAATTCTTAGGAAATAACTATCTGGTATATTCATCTCAAGTTTTGGAATGTTTGTGACTTTTTGTTTCAAAGAAACAAAATATTTAAAAATAAAAGAGTTGTATTACAGTCATATACTTGTACTATATAAGGGATGGGGAGAGACTCTTGTAAACCTTTCTTTAAGTCTTGTGTAACTATCTGAATCTCTTTAAGTCCTCAAATTCAATGCTGAATTATTGCCTGAATAACCATATCTATAAGCTTAATGAGGTTGCATAAAACACCAGTCATTTCATTTTACAAGGTTATAGACCTAAACGATCTGACAGTTATCAAGTTGTTCACACAATTAAATCTCTTTAATGAGATAGGTAATACCATAATGCCAATCTAGCCATACTTTTGGAAATGCTCAATATTTTGATTTGAAATTTTCAAACAAGATAAATAGGCTTAATGGTCACAATTTGTCAATTTTTGTTGCATATTTAAACACAATTTCTTTTTACTGTGTTCTGTGAAATCTGTAAACATTAATATTTTTATCAGAATGCACATTCTGACACACACTCTACCTTAAATCAGAATACACATTCTGATACAAACTATTATAAAACAGAAATACACACTCTGATACACACCCTACTTTAAAGCAAAATACCCAGTCTGAGATACACACTACCAGTATATAAATCAGAATTACACACTTTGATACACACCTTACTTTAAAGGGACAATAACACTCTTGCTGGCTTGACAGCTCCAGAAAATAAATAATAGCCTTATTCTAAGTATTAGATGTTTAAGTGTCCTACCTGTTTTGTAAATTATCCATTACATCCTATTTTACTTGTCCAGAGGGTTCGAAAATATTTATAAATACAAGCCACATTTGAAAAGGTTTATTTTAGGCTTTTCAAATCATTTAATTGAATTTTTCCAATTTTTTAAATTAGGTCTGTTAAGATGAAATTTGTATCATCAATTAATTGGAATATTGTAAAATAGTACAATTTGTTGACCAGAATAAAAATTGGGACATATTATTCAGTTACAACAAGAGTGGTATTGAGCCTTTAATGAAGAATACATATTCTGATAAATACTTGCTTTAAAGAAGAACACCCATTCTTATAAACACTCTACTTTAAAGCAGAAAACACACTCTTTAAAGAAGAAAATACATTCTTTATCAAATATAGAGCACCCAAATATAGAAAAAAGACGTCACATAATTGTGGAAGTGGACTTTAGTGGATGAGTGTTAATATGATTATTTTACACGCTAGCTATTAACTGTGGGTGGCTTTATTTATATGTATGTGTAATAACTGTAGAAATAATAACTAATGTTGTTTATATTTCAGTTTTTTCCTGTAGATTATGAATGTATATCAAGCCTGGTTACATATGATCATCTAGTTTATCTGTGTCACAATAAAATAGCCTTTACAGTACCTGATATTGATGATCTAGACAGATCAGCAGCAACGTAAATATTAATTCTTTCTATATTTCTTTATAAATTTGCACAAAATAACTAACAGTAAAGTATTATAAAGGATTATGGTAGATATCAATTTAATCATTTATTACCGGTATTTAAATTAAAAATTGCAAGAATTTATGGTGGCATTCAAAATAATTAATAGAATTTATAGGAATCTCTTGCAAACTACAATATTGCAAAATTTGAATTTCTAATAGGAATATGAGTCCAAAAAAGAAGATAAATTTCATCAATCTATACTGCCCTTTATTTAAACGGTACACTTCACTTTTTCTATTTCATTTCTTCGAACCTCTTTTTCTTAGCATAATTTGTTGACAAAACAGGTTTGCAATACTACATTTCTTCCAAGTTGAGCTTTCTGCCATTTTGCAATCTACAGTAGGCTGATCGCCAATTACAAGGTTATGTATTCTTGGATGTTGTCATGATATTATATCACACCCGCAGCCATCTTAACATGTTCGCAAAATCTAATTGATGGCCCTGTTTTTCATCCAATTGAATCCGTGCCAGAGATTATGTAGCATTGATATTTTGATTTTGTTTTCTTAATTAGCATGGATTAAAGTAGCTAAGTCTGTAACTCAATATCATCCAAAATCTTCCACATTTTTCAATTTAAATCAGCATTGGTCTTACCTGGAAAAGATGGGCTTCTGATATCCAATATATCAGACAAAATAAACATTTTACCATTGGTACGCGAATCGTGTACCATAATGCATTTCAGCGCCATTTGTAACAAGGTGTTCAAAGAATGAGGCTAGACATATTCCACAAGTCATGTCATGCCATATTCTTATTTGGAGAGCATGTGCAATATATACTATCGGTGTTGACTGGAATAACCAGACGCTAGAAACTGTCTTTCTGTTGAGACTTCTGGCGTATTTCGCCGAACATAACTGATGACAATTCACAGTAAAACAGAAACGATTGAATGTAAAACAGTTTATATAAATTCATATTACATTAATATCTGTGTTGCGACCCATTTGTGCCAATTTCTAGGCCCAAAATATTAGCGATTTAGCTCCTTTAAGTCAGGAACAGTTTGATATTTTCTGAAAAAAATAAATCACGCACAATAATGAATGCATTGAGACCCACACTAATGATAAAATTATGAATTCTCAAAAAGTAAAAAATTGCCAATCTTTATTTTCAGTTCTGTAAGTTTAACTCAGAGTTCTCCATCAAAACGAAACTATACTGGAAGTGAAAACGCTAAAGATGAGACAGAACCACAATGCATTCCCTTTACCTTTGACCTTCTGTCTCTATTACCTTGGAGTCAACAAGCAGAATTACTCTTTTCAACTTTTATTATGGAAAGTAAGTAGAAATTCTGAACAACATTTTTTATAACAAGGGATTAGCCAATGAAACCCTCTGTTACGTCGACTTAATGGTGTGCCATGCACGGAACTTTGGGTAAACCACTAGAAATGACAACGCTGATTGATTAATCAATACCTGACGTCTTAGGGTAAAAAGCTGCTCGTACGACCCCTTACGTGACCTTTCAGTACAACTGGTCAGATCTTCATGTAGTGTAGGCCATGGAAAGTATTTTAAAAATGAAACAAAATATAGATTGATTTGATGAGATACTTGAATAGTTAGGGTTTTTAAAGTCTGGTTCCAAAGTGCAGACTGGACAGGAAATTGTGTCTAGTCAGAAAGAAAAAGGTGAGGCTCTGTATACAGGTGTGTAGTAAGCATGAAAAGTTCCTTGCAGTTGGGATTAAAAGGAAAGGCAGCTATCCAGGCAAAATATTCATGTAATGTTAAACTCTTGTCCATTACTTTAATCTAATGAGTATTAATTTAGTCAATTTTCATTCAGATAATGAATATTCAAAAGATCCCATGCAGAGAAAGGCATCCAATATTGTTCTCTATAACCTCCTGATGGAAGATTTGGCTGAGTACCATGATAGACAGGTTCCCATGACCTTAGAAGATTCCCAGAAATTTTTAGACCTCTTAAAAAATAGAGAAAGAGATTTAACTCAGAATCCCCTTCCATTTAAATTTGGTGTGGACAAAAATGCCAGCTCTGATGAAATAGATTTTAATTTAATTACTGAAAATCCTGAGGGCATAGAGTCCCCATTGACACCAGATAAAGATGCTCACACAAACAGAAATGATCAACCAACTTCTGAAACCATTCAGAAAGATCCAGTTCCCAGGTGGATATGTTTTGCAAAAGCGTGGAAAGAAGGCAATCTTTCATTAACTTTTCTACCTGCCTCATTTGATGATCTTTTGTTGTTGAACCAAATTCATCTTCCAAAAGCACCACCAATCCCTGAAGAGCACCTTCCAGATATTAACATACAAGAACCAGATGATACTGAAGCAGACTTGAACTGTGGTGAAAACAAGTCCAAAGGTGGCAGCATTACTACGTCTATTGATGAAGCTGAAGATAGCCAGCACCAGCCACACAAAATACCAGTGTTACAAAGACTTGATTCTGAGGATCCTAGCTCTGTCTCATCATCCAAGGAGGAAGAAATAGCGGAATGGATCAACACCAATAGTCTCCAATGTAGGGATGGTCCCTTGCTTATACCGATATATGCCTACAGCTGTAGCCAGTGCTATATATCAGATTCCCTGATACAAAAAATGGATTATCATCTGCCTGAAGATAAGTTTGAAGATCTATCGTTCGAAGTTGATGAATTATCAGAGAAGTATGGAAAGTGTCCTATCATCCCTCGTACTCATCTCACATCAATGATGGAATCGGATGATAGCCAGAAGGAAGATGATTCACACTATTCTAAAAGAGGTTTAATGACTCTAGACTCAAGATCCAAAGATCACAGAAAAGCAGCAGTACATGAATTTAAACATTTAAGACGAAATATCTCCAGAATTTTCTTCAGCTGTTTTGTAAAAGGTAAACCTTTTGTTAAAGATGCGCTATGTAAGATTGCGATTAAGAGCACGCCATTGTTGCTATAATACTTCAAAAATAGATAATGAAAAATTAATACATTGAAATTTTCATTCAAATTACTTTATTCTGAGTAAAGTTACAAGTGTTTGAAGTTTTGACAAGATGTAGCATACATTGTTTATTATCGTAGCAAATAACACACTATTTATGGATAACAATTACTATGGTTTATTACACTGCGACATTTCAACAAGATTTCTCAAGTCGTTATCAAGCATATAACACAAATATCATTTTTTTAAATTATCAACTGAATATATATTTTCTTAATTATTGTTTTTTGAACCTTTTAAAGATGCCTTCCCACATACAAATTGTGTGATTTGCTGATATATTTGGACTAAAAACATATTCAAACTAATTTAGCTATCAAACATTTGCTTCAAATCACTCTTTAAACATTTTAATTGGAGAAATAAACTACCTCATGCAGTAGAAATGTATTTTCAGCAGACTTGTTTGTCATGTAACTTGATTGAAGGAGGGCCTATTTACAGGTTACTTGTTGTCCATTTAACATGTATATCGAAGCCTAAGTAAATTCTTTGATAATCTTCTGCCAACCTTTTTTTTCTTGCTGTTTAGTTGAAGAGTCTGTTGTACTTTTTTCTTGTTTTGTTTTATTTTGTTTTTCTTTACACTGATGGGAGTTTGCAATATAGGGGTGGGATTATATATACTTTGTTGTTATCTGTTTACCCGTATATTTAATTAACAATGCATACTATTTATATCTATATATATTTTGGGGGGCTACAACAATCTCTATGCTTCACCTGTAATAAAGTTCAAGTCAATACTATCATTTCCAAACCAATTGTAATTATTTTAGGAGTGTTCCGAAGTTTACAACAGCATCTATCTATACATCAGTGTGATTTGGATAATGCTATCAATAATATATGTGAAGAGTCACTACCACTAGAATCAGAAATTACAACATTTCTTCATTCATCATGTGGACATCTACAACATCTAGTAAATCGTGCTAGAAAACAAGATGCTGCAAGTAAAGATGAATCCAGTGCACCACGTCGCCTGTCAGTTAGATTTGAAGGTCTACCCATTGAAGATAATGAAAGGTTAGATAGAAATTCTGGTTTAAGGGTGAAAGGCAAAGAACTCTAAGGAGTTCATCCTACCCTTCAATTGTGTCTTATTTAAAGAGATAGGCATCTAATTTTGATTTGGGAGATTGAAATAGAATCTGACGGTCTTATTTACTTTTAAAGATGTGAGATACATTTTTTAAAACTGAAATATATTACAAGCTTGTTCTACAATCCCTAATTTCAATTACGCTAATTTAGCTGTTGGTAACTAGATATTAATTTTAATTTATGAATGATGAATACTAATCTGTGATGCTTGAATCTTGAGATTAGATGATTCAGTGATAGTTGATATTTGATCTGTTTTAATAGTGAATCTGATACAATGGATAGAACACCAGTCATTCTACAGTTTCCTAAAACTACTATTAGTCTGTCTAATCTAGTGGCATTGGACAAACCATGTGAGCACTCTTCAGGATTAAGCAACTTGCTATCTGAGAAATTCTTAGAGATTACCAAGAAATGGTTCCGTCCAGTTCCATCAAATCCTGATTATTATTATTATTTTCCTGAAGAAATAAATTTAGCAGTGGTGAGTATTATAAATCTATGATAATAATAATAATAATGATATTATGTATTTTATAATTTTGCTTTCGCTTCAGTGCACTCAGATAGCTAGATTTGTTTGGGTTGATTTCTAAAAAGACGGGAGGTCACGGTGGCTAAGTGGGTAAGACACTGGCTCACTAGCCTGGAGTCCGGGTGTTCAATCCCTGCATTGGCCGAGAAAGATCACCCAGATTTTCCGGCGTGGTTCCCCTTGTCAGTGATGCAGGACGGAGGGCCTGACAAGGACAGGTGTCTAGTCATTCGGATGATACGGAAAACCGAGGTTCCGTGTACACATTGGCATGCATGTAAAAGATCCCTTGACAGTTGGAATTTGATATAAGAGTAGGCCGTAGTGCTGCTGTCCGGGCAAAATTTCCCTCATAGCACACTGTATTGCGTATGCCTGTCTTCATTAGCCCAGTTCGGAGCACGTTAAACCACATTTCATTTCATTTCTAAAAAGACGAGAACATTCTTCCACTTGAATCCAATCCAATGCCTATATCTGACAGATGTTGTTACAAATAAACAGTTACATGTACAGTTATTTCTTATCTTCTAATTCTTCATATGTGAATGACCTAATACGTTTGTGAGATTTCTTAAAGGGAGGCGCATGAAATTCAAGTGATTTAAATTCTTAAATGGAAATAAATAAAACTGAAGGAGTTACCTCCCACTGTACACTCACACAACATCTTTGTAATAGTTAATTAAGTCGTTATTTGAAAATCAAATCAGAGACATCCAAATGACATACCTACCTCAGACTTTACTGCTTGACAACTTTTCCATTGTTTAAAAAGAAACAGTTACATGTCACATAAAAATAAGTGTTGTCAGATAGGTTATGTAGACAAATTTTGTTTACCAAATGGTTCTCATTCTATTACAGGCCGAAGAAGAAAATCTAAGTGAATGTTCAGATGCAAGTATTGATGAAATTGGTAAGAGACATGGAAGCCACAGTTCTGCTATTAATTTATGGTTGTAGTCAAGTGTATGAACTCTCAACCAGGGCCCTACTTAAATCTCCTTAAAATCGTCTTAAACTAAAATTTCATCCAAAATTTCACAAAATGATTTTAAGCATTTTGGATAAAATCCACTAAAATAACATTTTAAGTTAAAATTAAAATAGTGGCGGTTCACAAAACTATTTTAGGGACAATTTTAACTAAAATCAGTTTTAACTTAGGACGGCCATCTCCCTCTTCCAACTTAAGATCACAACATTAACAAACATTGATTATAGCTACGTTGTGAGATCTATTGCGACAGATATATTTGGAATAATGTTAATATTGCCAATGTCCCGGGTCACATATTTTTACCATACCATCATTCACAAAAATAGTTCTCATTCAATTTCTTTTCATAGCATGGGAAATACAGCTATGTTTTACCCATTTATTTTATTGTAAGGCCATTTAAGCAGTTAGATGCTGCCCAAAATTGGAACCCCAAGAAAAAAAACACTCAAAACCCTAGTAAACAAAACCCTTAGTAACTGTTTTATATATTGCCATATGATTCATGTATAAATTATACTATTTTAAAATAATTAACAGACAAAAAAAAGCAACAACAACAAAGAAAAAAAAAACCACTAAAAGAAAATCTGAACTCATTTCATATCTAATGTCATGGAATAAAAAGAACTCTTATCTATAAAAAAAATATCTTTGTTTAAAATGGCCAATTACTTGGTATTAGAAAGAGGCCTAATCCTTAAAGGCCTATAATACTAGACATGAAATATGCAAAGTATTTACTCATATGGTTTTGGGGGTTATGATGATTTGTAAAAAGATAAATCAATAATTTCAGATATGTTTATTGAAAAATGTTATAGGCCTATTTGAAATTAAAATTTAATATATTACAAACTACTGTTAATTTTGTTTCTATTGTTTATTTATATTCTCAGAACAAGAAGGGGAAGAAGAAGAGGATTTCTTTGGAGATTTTGTTGATGTAACTGTGACTAGAATAGATGATGATGGTCATTCTATGTCTTTAGAGAGTTCAATTGGAGCTTCAGATGCAGATTTAGAATTAGCTCAGTTGGATGATGTACCTCTCTTTATACATTTTACGTGTACCTTAAAGAATAGATTAGAACAATATAATGTGTCTGCTAGAAGTCTACCACATTGTATTGGTAGGTACATTTTTATATGCCCACATTTTCATGTGGATGTATTATGTCGTCGCTCCTGTCCGTCTGTCCACAATTTGTTTGTGGACACTCTACAGGTCACAATTTTTATCCGATTTTGACTTAACTTGAAATATAGGTCCCAAAGAGCTAGGTTCCTTTCGATATTGGCATGTATCGGACCATAACTTCATGGATTATGGCCCCCAATTATTCAAAAAATCACGTTTTTAGCTTGTGGACACTATAGAGATCACAATTTTCAAATGCATGTTTATAACCCAAAGATCTTGGTTCCTTTCAATATTTGTGCATATGGGATTGTAACATCCTGAATTATGTTGGTCGAGTTTGAATTTCATGAAAATCGGATTGTAATTTCCGGAATTATGGCCCTTGATTGTATGTAAAATCGATAATATTTGGGACCTTAAATTGACAAAAATGGGTCGCAACGCATATAATAATGTAATATGAATATAAACTGATTTACATTCAATCGTTTCTGTTTTTACTGTAATTTCTGATCAGTTATGTTTGGCAAAATATGCCAGAAGTCTCATGTGAATGGCAATCTTTAGCGTCTTGTTTTTCCAGTTTACACCGATGGTATTTATTGCGCATGCTCTCCAGATAAGAATATAGCGTCACCATTTGACATGACTTGTGGAATATGTCTAGCCCTGTTCTTTGAGTCCCTTGTTCCAAATGGCGCTGAATCGCATTATGGTACACGATTCGTGTACCAATGTTAAAATGTTTATTTTGTCTTGAATATTGGATATCAGAAGGCCATCTTTTCCCTGTAAGGTCACAAGACCAATGTTGATTTGAATTGACAAATAATTCGTGTTTTCAATGTCCAAGATTTTTGAGGATATTGAGTTAGAGACTTAGCTACTTAAAGTGATACTTAAAAATTATTTGCTTTGAAACAGGTCAAATATTGAGACCTATTGAAGAAGAAATTAAAGATTTTGATCTCAGTAATCTCAAGTTCACCTTTGACATTAATTGTCTGACATTACCAAGTGACAGTGAGCTAATTCATAACAAATCGTTAATAAGGATGTTATCTAATAACTCACCAGAACCATCTACACCTGCAGATAGACTAGACACAGTAGATGCTGATATGTCTGTAGTATCATCAGATCAAGGGTAAGTTCTTAAGATAACCTAATAAATTGAATTACAAAACACAACTTCAAATGCTGATAATCTACCAATACTGTGATTTATACAGTAATCAAATATGCCTTCCCTCATACAAACTGTATGATTTAATGATGTATTTGGACTAAAAATATATTAAAACTAATTTATCTATTAAAAGTTTGCTTAAAATCTCTCTCAAATCATTTTAGATCACAAGGAACTACCCCAAGCTGTAAAAACCTATTTGAAGCAGTCTTGTTTGTCAAAAACCTGAATTGATGGTGGGTCCAATCAGACTGTATTTGTCTTTACTCACTGTCAATTTACCATAGATATTTAAGCCGTTGAATGACAGAGTCTTCTGTAGGTTTAAGTCTCTTACTGTTCTTACAGCCGCTAGCAATTCCATCAATCTCATGGGCATTTTTCAGAGAATCCAGTATTTTTCTAGTAAGATTTGGTGTTTGTACTTTCCATATACCAAATTTGCCATACTCGCCATACTTTTAGTGGAAATAACTACCCTTAGAATACTTTCCTGGAAATGTATCTTTAATCTGGAAAAGTCATCTTATTAGTGCTAATTATTTGTTAGCCAAAGCAACAGATTGTCAGGTCAGATTATATATTTATTTTAATTGACAGATTGAAGGAAGCTTTTGGTGATCCTATTTCTCATTTACAAAAAATTCAATATAAGGCCATGATGGCATTTAAGCAGGAGGTAAATATTTTTATTATTTGGATATCTTGTGAGCTCTCCAATCTGATTAAAATACCGATCTATATTTTGTTTTGTTTTTTTATACTTTCAATGGCCTTCCGGCCAGACTACATGAAGATCTGACCAGCTATACTGGAAGGTCACGTCAAGGGCTGTATGAGCGGCTTTTGACCCTATGACTTCAGACATTGATTAATCAATCAGCATTGATATTTCTAGTGGTTTACCCACAGTTCTGTGCATCAAACGCCAAGAACTCGCTGTAACAGACCGCTTCATTGGCTAATCCCTCACTCCAACCAGAACGCCGGTAATATAACAGCTCTTCCAAGTAAAACGAAATTTTAAACTATAAAAAATAAAACGAAATAGGATCTGTGTTTTAATCAGATTGTGAGCTCTATTACATGATAAAACAAAGAAGTTTGAGATGCTTCAATAAGTTACTTGCCTTTTTCTCCAATTGCTAATCGAGCATTAAGAGACATTGGACTCTCAACTAGAATTTTGCCAGTTCAAATCCTGGCATGTGACGAGAAAAGATGAAGAAGAGACATTGCACACGAGACCATAGCAAAAATAACTGTGTATTAGTCTTCAAATAAAAGCAGTGTTCACTTCCTATTCTGTCCTATCACATTGTTAATGTGACATACTCAATGATATAAAAATAGTATATATACTAGCAACAAAATAACCTACATGCCTTTCTCTTATTTAATTTCATTGATACTTAAGAGCGAGAGAGAGAAATGGGGTTTAACATCCACTCGACACAAACTAGGTCATTTCGGGACTAACATATGTTTTAATTTTATTTCAATAATTTGTTTGCGTGTAGGGGTTTTTAGCAGTGGGAGGAAACCGGAGGACCCCGAGAAAACCCACTAGGTTGGACAGGCGACCCTACTCCTTGTCACGTACAACCGGGGAATCGAAACCCCGCCAGTTGACTCAATGACAGACCGTATGATACAGCGCGCGCGTCCTAACCATTCGGCCATCCACCCCCCATGATACTTGTGAGATAAGCATGAATACACAGATATTGTAAGAGTCAGAGTATATTAGAGTATATTGATTTAATTGGTCGGGCATTACACAAGATTTCACATTGAATCAATCAATCTTGATTTCAAAATGAACTGTGCTGAATCTGCAATTATGGGACAGTAACTTCCAAATCTTATCTTGCTGGACTACATTTTGGTTTATTTTGTTTATTTTAGATTGAATGGTTATTAAATGATGAGATAGTATCAGCTTTACGTCATCTATCACCAATAAATTCTGATGCTCTAGAGTTTGTTACAGAGCATATTAAAAAATATAAAGCAGAAAATAAACCTGGTTGTGATCACCATGTTGTTAGTCTCAAGTTTGTGTTTGGAGCTAATCAAAGTTTGGTAAGATTTACAGAGGTAAGCTTATGCTTTTGATATATAATGTTAAAAATAAACACTGCAATATCGTTGTCAGCCAGCAGTTATAATTAAGTATGTATGTGCATGATACAAGGTGATGAAAATCGAAGCAAGATAGCAAATCAGCTAACTCTTTTGAGTGTACCTGGTAAAGTTTAGTTAAATCACCTCAGAAATAGGTGAATTCAGCTATCTTATTTGCATACAGTTTGCAGTCAACAGTCAAATAAACGGCTGTTCTTAAGCTAGCTTATTTATGTCAGTCGAATCAGGTTATACGACAAGGGGTAAGGCATTCTGAAAATATTTTTGTTATCTTTGCAGGAATTTGAAAGACTTAATTTACCCAATTATAGTTTAACTAAAGAAGGAGATTATTATTTTGTTATTTTAAATCGTAATCAATCCATTAATATTCTACAAGCTGAAGAAATAGCCCATGCACTGGTTAACCTCTCTCGAACAAACATGAAAGCAGAGAAACCAGCTGTCCCAGAACTTCCAAAGATCTTTCCCAAATTAGAAGAACGTAGCAATAGTTTACCAACATTATTTCCCATGAACGATTCTTCTGAGTTACCTTCCTTTGATGTGAACAAAGTTAATAGGGATGATAATGATTGTGATGATGATGATGATGAAATAGATGATTATGATGATGATAGTCTGCGCCCGAGAAGTAGATCTGATGCAAAATATTTACGGCGATCAGTTTCTGGTTTAAGTGAAGAAGGGACATCTCTTACTCAGACTTTGAGTGAAATACAACATGCACTGCCGCTTTTTACTTCAACAACAAAGGCTGCTCCTCAACCCCATGGTATGTGTTGCACAGAGGTATTTTTATAATAAATTCCTTTCTTGGAAGAAAGGAAATTGAAATTTTCACACTAGACTTATAATCATTATATTATGACTTACAGGGTTGAAATTTGCATACTTTTCTAGACAACTGGTAAAGTAACAAATCTAGGCTTTAAGGTCTACAACAAACAGATTGAACACACTGAAGATAATATAGTGTCTCAACTTGACTGTCGGCTTGTTTTCTATTTAATCCTCTTAACTTATCTTTTTAGGTATATTGAAAAAATCATCAAGTTTTGCAAGTTTTGAAACAGGTACTGTTAATGCTACTGACATTTTACCAACAATTCAACAATCTCATTTTAAATCTTCAACATGTCCACCTGTCACAGATAAAATAAGAAGTCGCCATTTTTCTGCTCCATCTGGTCCAGGAACTCCACAAAGTAGATCATCTACTCTGCCGATTTCTTCCAGAGGAAGCTGTAATGAAGATGGTGAGTTCTAGTGGAGGAGTCTTTTATCATTACCTAAAATTATGTTAGTTAAACAAATTTGTTTTTATGTGACACAATAATTCACCTAGTGTGGTGCCAAATCTGCTAACTGTAGTGTTAATACGATAGGAGTGTTATCAGTAAAACAATACCAGATTACAAATACTGATACCAATAATTTCTGTGAAAAATTATTCTCTATAGGAATATCTGTTCAATTTCATTCAGTATTTACAATTGAAATACCATCGATCTATGCTGATCGCTATGTAAGAAGCCTACCGATTGAATTCAAGCCAGGTTATTATCTAGTGTTTGTATTTTGATAAGTTTTCTTAATTAAATGTTAATTCTTTTTATGAATTGTCAGATGTCCTCACACAGTCTCAGATAACAACTTTTCATCTTCGAAGGAATTATCTGTTATCACTCGTTACTTCAGTCAGTTATGTATAAGGATAACTTGTGTTTTCCATTTTTTTCGACACTGCCCGTTTCTTCAAATCTTCATTACGTATCGACCAAAGCAATGATCTCTGTGTTAAAATTATATTTGAAATGTGTTTATCCAGTTCTATCACATATTTGATAATGGCTGACACCAATATTGTCCTTTAAACGATCAATCTGAGATTACCATGGATTAAGCTGTGAGAAATTTTATATCTTAACAAAAAATGCAAATGACACATCGTTGCATTAATAGTTTTATACATGTATACGTGCTACTGTTGTATGACATTTTTAAATGATTGCCAACAGAATAGTATTTACCAGCATTTTACTTTAAATGTCATATCTTACCATGTGTTCACAGTAGGCAATGTTACATATCGTAAATTTACTTTCAAATCTTGTTATTAAATTAGTCTGTATTCAGTGAGTACTAGTTCAACAGTTTAATATCATCTTACTAATTAGTAAATGATTTCATATCCATGCGTATAACATAACTTTGACACAAAGTGCTATTTTCGGTGATTAGTAAAGACCGTTTTTGGCAATATTTCAGGAAGTCATAATTTTTTATGAAATCATTTAAAGTTTGGATATGGTGTGTAGAATGTGCCTATCTATAATATATCTTTCCTTGTCAGTCACTTTTTGCAGTACGTTGGACAATACTAACAGAATAAACACCTATGTTGGTTTTTGTCAGTTATTAGTATAAAGTTATAGTGTTATGAAATGAAATGGGTTTATTGTCTTGTCAACACAATACTTTGGTCTTTTTAATACCAACATATGTGAATTTTTATATTGTCTTTTTTATATGGTCACATTTCAGTGTTAGGCATATTATGTTGTCACATTGTCTGATGGTCAGTCTGTCAACAATTGAATGCAATAGAGACTACAGTTTTTGATGGATTCTTTTCAAATCTGGTAGTATCTTTTGTACCAGAGTTATGTCCCCTTTTCCAAAAATTTGTGAATGTGATAGACGCTGTAGTTATTAATAATGTTTTTCGTTAATATTGCCAATTAACTGCCAATCAGTTTAATAAATTGTTTTGAAATGTGAATGCAGAGAATTAGAAATTGTATATTTACTCCTTTCATCAGAAATTCAAAAACTATGAAAAGTTTTTATTTTGACAAGGAGTAGGGTTGCCTGTCCAACCTTGTGGGTTTTATCCAAGTCTTCCGGTTTCCTACCACTGCTAAAGACCGCTATGCGGAAGCGAATTATTGAAATAAAATTTAACCATGTGTTAGTCTCGAAATGACCTAGTTTGTGTCAAGTGGACATTAAACCCCTCTCTCTCTCTCTCTCTCTCTCTCTCTCTGTAAGAAAGCATGTTAATTATGAATAGTATGGTAATTCAGGTTATGAAGGTGATTCAAATTCAAGTGATGGAGAGTTAGACGATACTCATTCTGTTAGTGATGGGGGTCAAAGTCATCCACAACTGCCTAACTTCTGGCTTATACTACAAATACATCAAGATAAAGCTGAAATATTCTTTCATGCTAGAGATACACCGAGCAGGTTAGATTACATATATATTATTTAAGTGGTGTATTAACATAATATTTAACACAATAAAGAATTTCTAAAAATAGATCTGGTTAGTAATAGTAACTGCAAGGGTACTGTACCACATAATTACACAAGAGAAACCTACGTACAGACAGGGCACAATATACACAAGACCGCTCAAACAACAAATGAATGGATCAAGTGAATGGATCCAGGGGCTAGCATTAAACATCTGCTGCACTGTACAGTCCTGGCTTTGTAGTTCTTCCCTCAAAATGAAAAGCAAACTAACAATAAGGGAATCAACCCAAGAAAAATGGAGGAATGTTTCCTAAGGTTTTGTAGAAAATGATCCAGGTTTGATAATCAAGGATTTTGTGTGCACTGTATTGTCTATGATTGTTAATTACATGTATTAATTACAGTAAGGAAAAGAATAATTCCATATTGTTTGTTTTTGTATCTGACATCTCAATCGATTTCTTACCTTAAAGCATAATATCTGTTCAAAAATTACTCAAATCGATCAATTGTAATAGAAATTATATCCATCTAATTTTTCCATTACTATCTGTTGATTTCGTGCTGCGATCTTTTCTCTGTAAAATCATAATTTAACAAAACGATAATTCAATTCTGTCCCACAAAATTGAGAACACAATGTCATTTAATGTTTTAATCATCTACATTTTATACTATATAAGACCATCCCTTATTTTTGTTAAATTCAAATACCGTAGATTATTAATGACAAACCGGCATATTGAGTCTTTATTATATTTTAACTATTATACATTTGATAAGATTTATTGATGTTATTTTTCTAGTGAAAATAATGAAGAAGAATTAAGAGAAAGAAATGACAGAAGAGCTTTACAGTTTCATGTTAAACAAGATATACAGTGTATTTGTAAAAAAGTTAATCAGGTACCCTCTACGATTTATAGTTATGTTACCAGTATGTCAAAATAGTCAGAGATAATGTTATAGATGAAATGAAATGAAATGGGGTTTAACGTCCTACTGTTCTGCTCCTAAACTGGGCTAATGAAAACGGGCATATGCCATACAGTGTGCTATGAGGGAAATTTTGCCCGGGTAGCGGCGCTACGGCCTACTCTTATATCGAATTCCAACTGCCAAGGGATCTTTTACGTGCACGCCAATATGTACACGGGACCTCGGTTTTTCGTCCCATCCGAACGACTAGACAGCTGTCCTTGTCAGGCCCTCCGTCCTGCATCACTGACAAGGGGAAACCACGCCGAAAAATCTGGATGAACTTTCTCGGCCAATGCAGGGATCAAACAACCGATAATGTTATAATTTAGTCAATATTTTTTTGATTTGTAATTAAGGAATTTATTTTCACCTCAGATAAATTTCAAAATTGAAATCCTCTAGAAATTATTGTGTTTGTTTATTTTCAGAGATTATTATTAAAGGAATTAAATGACACAAGAATATGTAATTCATTGTTAGTAGACGAAGCAGAAGAAGATCGTCTGTGGGCAGATAAGAGAACAACATCTGGTAGATCTATGGTAGAAAGTACAGGTACTGTTCATTTCCTTTAATATTTTAAACAAAACTGTTGCAAGAGGGAAGTTTTAACTATAGTTTTTATTTTGTCATTTACTTATATGATGACCAATTCTCATGTTAAATATAACCTTTACTGTTCCTGTGCGCTAACTGAATACACTTTGATATAGAAGCAGTAACAAATTATGGACTTGGATCTTCAGTATCCATCTACTTCTGAATTTTCTATCAAATTATTTAAAGAATGGAGTATAACTAGCTAATGTAAGAGTTACATCCATGAATGCAGTCTCATTATTTCATATGCATTATTTATTATCATAAAACACAAACTTATTTTCTGTTTAACCCTTGTGTGGATATTTCGAATCCCACAACCATATCCTTAATGTGTGTGGGAAACTGGTTCATAAATGTCTAGCAAGAATTTTATACATTGTCAGCGACTTAACGTTGAGTATAATGCTAAAAATAGAATGAAAGTGAGGCAGTGGCAACACTCACCATTTGACAAGAAACTAAAAGTATTACGTTATCGGAAACAGGGGTCTTGTGGACCCCCCTCCCCTTTCCTTTAAACATTTTGCTGGTTACAAGTGCCTAATCTGTTTTGCGCTCGGTGCTGGCTTTGTATTTGGAATCTCTCTTACTAATGATATTGTATTGATCATTCTAGTAATCAAGATTATTAAACAAATCTAGGTACTCTACCAACCTCGTCAAAAGACGATTCTACTTGGAAATGACAATTAAGTTATTTGAAGATTTTTGTGGTTTAAAAAATACCTTCTAATTCATATCTTTACTATTAATACCTCAGATACTTTTTTTTAAATTGATTGATCATTATTCAATCTTTATATGAAGCTCTAGTTTGATCATATTTGAATGAATTATGCATCCAAAAACCTATTTATGTCTGGAGTCTTAGATTACCCCTTGTTGCCGAAAGATTTTTGTGCAATGTGTCCACACAAGGGTTAAATGATTATATGATATATTTATCTAGCATCTGAATGTGATGATGATGAAAGTGAAGATGGAAGAGGCAGACGTTATTTAGCAGCCAGATTAGAGTTGATGCCAGGACATTTTGCCTGTGACTGTACATGGAAGACTATGTTTATTCTACATACTCGATTAAAAGAAGGAACTAAAAGAGGGGGAGGTGCATCAAGAGGTAAATTTACAATACTGTTCTGTTGAAATATATCTCTCTTGTCTAGGGGCCTGGTACACAAGAACAGTACTTCAATAGAGCTGTTTAGTTTAATTTTTATAACCCCACATGGAAATGTGGTTGTATGTCATCGCCCCCATAGGATCTGTATGAAATTTGTATGCATCATTTAAATTAGTAAAACGAAGAAGCCTAACGAATTTTAGCAATTTCCGTTAATTACTTCTAGAGTTATGGCCCTTGTTTTACTTTGTTGGTCCTTGTGAACCATAAAGCTTGTCGAATTTCAACAATTTCTGGAACTTACTTTGAGCCTCTTGTTTCAGTTTGTAGACATTTGTGAATGCTTAAATGACAAAAATTGGTATAAATTGGTATCAGTGTCTTGTGTCTTTGGTATGCCTCCCCCACTCTCCCCATTACCCACAAAATAATAAGCTTGAGGGTATGTTTCGTTACCTGGCAACCTACTTTTCACTTGGATGCACACTACATGCTTCTTGAAATGGGATACCATTCTAGATTTAAACAGGACTTTCCTCGGGCCATAGCTGAAGGGTATTTGTTGTCTTCAGTTCACCATTGTCCTTTCGATTAACTTTGATAATCTGTAATTATGTTATCTTTTTTTTAAAGGTTTATTGGCTCTAAGAAGTGTTCTCAGCAAGTTATCTGTTAATAATAGAAAAAACATGTTTGTTATAAAAGAAACACAGACTGAAAATGTCTCGTATCTCAGGTACATTTTACTCATGATATGTTGATCTGAAAACCTACGATTAGGTTAAATACCATTTTGGTCTTTTTGTTCTTAGATAGAAATTTATATTACTCAGACTATAGTTAATGACTTACGTTTAAAAAAAAAAAAGATGGCGTAATGAAATCAATAGAAAATGTTCAGAAATTTAGATCACCGTAATATTTGTAAGGATTGATTGATGTGAATATTTTTTGTAATGATGTGTATTTTTTGATAAGACATTTCTCTGGAAACCATGCTGTGCCTACAGATCTTTTATTTTGTAAAGTTAATAAAGCAAGGAAGTAGTACAATGATGTAGATTTTTTGTGTACTGACAGTAAATTGTTCTGGAATGAAATATCAATTCTATGCTTATTCTATTTTGTGGAAGTCATTAATTGGTTATTATTTGTTAGATTGCGAGAGTTACGTAATGTACCAGTAGCAGCTACATCATCTGGTGATATGTTAGAAGATGATTATTTACTACAAGGTGATTTATTATATATATATAACTATTTCTCATAATTTTCTGATTGTTTCTTGTTCTATTAGCAAAATGTTTAAAACAGTATCATATTTTTAAGCGCCCACATTTTCATGTGGACGTATATTGTTGTCACCCCTGTCCGTCCAGACGTCCGGACGTCCGCAATTGTTTGTGGACACTCTACAGGTCACAATTCTCATCAGATTTTGACGAAACTTGACATATATGTTTATCTCCAAAAGATCTCGGCTGCTTTCGATATTGGAATGTATCGGATCGAAACTTCATGGATTATGGCCCCTGTTTATACGAAAAATCACGTTTTTAGCTTGTGGACCTTATAGAGGTCACAATTTTTATCCGATTTTGTTGAAACTTGAAATGTAAGTTTATAACCCAAAGATCTCGGTTCCTTTCGATATTCGCGCATATCGGACCGTAACTTCCTGAATTATGGCCACTGATTGTACGAAAAATCACGTTTTTAGCTTGTGGACCCTATAGAGGTCATAATTTTTATCCGATTTAAAAAACCGTATTATTATATCACCGTTACACCCTAAGGACGACCAAGTTCGAATTTCGTAAAAATCGGCCCAAAACTGACAGACAAAATGGCTGCCGTTCGTTCTCAAATAGCGTAAAAATAATGTATATCAAGGTTGTGGACCCTTTAGAGGTCACAATTTTTATCCAATTTTGTTGAAACTTGAAATGTAAGTTTATAACCCAAAGATCTTGGTTCATTTCGATATTTGCGCATATCGAATTGTAATTTCCTGAATTATGGCCCTTGATTGTAGGAAAAATCTCTTTCTTTTTAGCTTGTTCTCTATCCATCTCTCGAAAATGTGGGCGTATCCTGCCTGGCAGCCGCTGGTTTTAATATCTATTATTTCATGTAGGAGTACTTTGCTGTTACTCCTGTCCTTTTTTTGGCTGAGATTGTTTGACTAGTCCTAAGGAGGGTCCATTTCGAAAGTTAGAGCTGTGCAACAATTTTCCACTGTTTTTCAAAATAGACTGGATTGTTTGGCATTTGTGACTTGACCATCATCAGTTGTTTTAATTAACCACTCTAGTGCTGTTGTGTGTATATTTGTTACCTGGAAATGCTATGTTTTTTGCTCAGATATTGGGAATTAACTTTAGATATATTTTTGAAAAATTATGTTTTATTTTGTTTCCAGAGCAGTCCAGTGGCGATCTCTTTGCAGTGGCTACAAAATTAGAAGAGGTACGTACCAATAATTGTTCACACACAAAAAAGCTTCTTTAGATAATTGTATAGGAATATTTTTGTTTACATGAATGGTTTAAGTTATGTTTTATTTGGAATTATTTATTTTATTTTTGGGGGTTAGGTAGCCGAATGGTCTAAGACGTGCGCCTTAGATCATAAAGTCAAGTAGTGTGGTTTTGATTCCCTGCTTGTACGTGACAAGGAGTAGGGTCGCCTGTTCAACCTTGTGGGTTTTCTCTAGGTCCTTCGGTTTCCTCCCTCTGCTAAAGACCCCCAGAACATGCAAGCAAATTATTGAAAAAAAAAATGAACCATATGTTAGTCCCGGAATTACTTTGTTTATGTCAAGGGTATGTTAAACACAATTTTTCTCTCTTTATTTTATTTTGATAATAAATGATCTGTGTATATATTGTTTCAGTCAAGTTCCTTTAGAGATAAAATAGATGCTGATGCTATATCTAACTATTCAGGATTGAGTCGTTTATCATCACGTGTAGAATCTGTTGTTGAACTCTTAGTTTATGGTATAGAAGAACCAGGTATATATTTTTTTTAATAGACACACATATACACTTGGAAAAATCCATTTGAGAGGAATTTATTTTCTCTTGAAATATCAGAAATTCACACTCCACGCAAAATATATGTTTTGTAGGATAGAATAATAGACTATAATATTTGATTTTTGAGGTGCATCCGTAAAAGGCATTAGTGACAACTATCATTCTCTCTGTCCTAGATAGAGATTAATGAATATTATAACGGTTAGATTCTTTGTGAGGTTTTATTCCATAGTTTTTTGTAACTATCTGAAGCTCTATGATAATTATTTGAAGAATAAATACATGATTAGGTATGTGATGTTTCCAAACTAATAACTTTAGTAGTGTTTGGTTAGTTGTAAGTTTGAGGTAGCGTTAAGTAATTACATTTATTAGATCATGACTTATTGCACTTAAACCAGTGATTCTCAACGTGAGGCGCCCAATACAAGTGGGCAGTTTGAATATTTAGGGGAACAATTTGAAAATGATGTCAATACGAAAAAACTTCATTTGTTCCATTATTACTTTTACACCAAAGCAACTTTTGGTACAAATTACTGTCGGAAACGGCTGTCTTCTATCTTCCAAACATATTATCGTGCAACTGGCACCACCTCTACGACAATTTGTTTACAGCTTTGCACAATGAGGTTAAACCCTATCAACTGAGAGTTATCAATTTTCAGATTACCTCATGTTTTTATACGCCCACATTTTCATGTGGACGTATATTGTCATCGCCCCTGTCTGTCCGGACGTCCGTCCGTCCACAATTTGTTTGTGGACACTCTACAGGTCACAATTCTTACCCGATTTTGACGAAATTTGAAATATAGGTTTATCTCCAAAAGATCTTGGCTGCTTTCGATATTGGCATCTATCGGATCGAAACTTCATGGATTATGGCCCCTGTTTGTACGAAAAATCACGTTTTTTGCTTGTGGACACTATAGAGGTCACAATTTTTATCCGATTCTGTTGAAACTTGAAATGTAAGTTGATAACCCAAAGATTTCGGTTCCTTTCGATATTCGCGCATATCGGACCGTAACTTCCTGAATTATGACCCCGGATTGTACAAAAAATCGCGTTTTTAGCTTGTGAACCCTATAGAGGTTATAATTTTTATCCGATTTAAAAAACCGTATTATTATATCACCGTTACACCCTAAGGATGGCAGAGTTCGAATTTCATGAAAATTGGCCCAAAATTGACAGACAAAATGGCCGCCGTTCGTTCTCAAATAGCGTAAAAATATGGTATATCAAGGTTGTGGACTCTATAGAGGTCACAATTTTTATCCGATTTTGTTGAAACTTGAAATGTAAGTTTATAACAAAGATCTCGGTTCCTTTCGGTATTCGCGCATATCGGATCGTAACTTCCTGAATTATGGCCCCTGATTGTACGAAAAATCGCGTTTTTAGCTTGTGGACCCTATAGAGGTCATAATTTTTATCCGATTTAAAAAGCCGTATTATTATATCACCTTTACACCCTAAAGACAGCTGAGTTCGAATTTCGTGAAAATCAACCCAAAACTGACAGACAAAATGGCCACCCTTCGTTCTCAAATAGCGTAAAAATATGGTATATCAAGGTTGTGGACCCTATAGAGGTCACAATTTTAATCCGATTTTGTTGAAACTTGAAATGTAAGTTTATAACCCAAAGATCCCGGTACCTTTTGATATTCGCGCATATCTGACCGTAACTTTCTGAATTATGGCCCCTGATTGTACGAAAAATCGTGTTTTTAGCTTGTGGACCCTATAGAGGTCTTAATTTTTATCCGATTTAAAAAACCGTTTTATTATATCACCATTACACCCTAAGGATGGCAGAGTTCGAATTTCATGAAAATTGGCCCAAAATTGACAGACAAAATAGCCGCCGTTCGTTCTCAAATAGCGTAAAAATATGGTATATCAAGGTTGTGGACTCTATAGAGGTCACAATTTTTATCCGATTTTGTTGAAACTTGAAATGTAAGTTTATAACAAAGATCTCGGTTCCTTTCGGTATTCGCGCATATCAGATCGTAACTTCCTGAATTATGGCCCCTGATTGTACGAAAAATCGCGTTTTTAGCTTGTGGACCCTATAGAGGTCATAATTTTTATCCGATTTAAAAAGCCGTATTATTATATCACCTTTACACCCTAAAGACAGCTGAGTTCGAATTTCGTGAAAATCAACCCAAAACTGACAGACAAAATGGCCACCCTTCGTTCTCAAATAGCGTAAAAATATGGTATATCAAGGTTGTGGACCCTATAGAGGTCACAATTTTAATCCGATTTTGTTGAAACTTGAAATGTAAGTTTATAACCCAAAGATCCCGGTACCTTTTGATATTCGCGCATATCGGACCTTAACTTTCTGAATTATGGCCCCTGATTGTACGAAAAATTGCGTTTTTAGCTTGTGGACCCTATAGAGGTCATAATTTTTATCCGATTTAAAAAACTGTATTATTATATCACTGTTACACCCTAAGGACGGCTGAGTTCGAATTTCATGAAAATCTGTCCAAAATTGACAGACAAAATGGCCGCTGTTCATTCTCAAATAGGGTAAAAATATGGTATATCAAGGTTGTGGACCCTATAGAGGTCACAATTTTTATCCGATTTTGTTGAAACTTGAAATGTAATTTTATAACCCAAAGATCTTGGTTCCTTTCGATATTCGCGCACATCTGACCTTAACTTCCTGAATTATGGCCCCTGATTGTAGGAAAAATCACTTTCTTTTTAGCTTGTTCTCTATCCATCTCTCGAAAATGTGGGCGTATCCTGCCTGGCAGCCGCTGGTTTAATATCTTTATCTTTGAATTTCTTTATTGATACTCTTTAAGATCCATCATTCAGCTTCAGTTGTATGTATAAACATTAATTTTATTCACCTGGGTCATTGTATTCTGGGTATTTTGTTGAAAAAATATGAGAATTACAAAATTGTCCATCCTTTCTTGATACATTGGGAACATAGAGTGGCTGCATTAGGAGAAGCTCTCATGCCTGTGTATCATCGTCAGCTCTCTCTGTCTTAAATACTTTTGCAAAACTCAATTTGTTTTCGTATCAAAATAATTTACGATGTTGAGGTGGGGCAAAGTACACAAACCGTTGGGAACCACTGGCTTAAACAATAGTCCATATTTCTTTATCTGAAGCTACATAACCATGTCAAGCATTTTTGGTATTCATTTCAGAATGGCTCAATATTTTTTAGCTAAAACATTTTGTTATATTTTGGCATTTGATTTACTTAAACCTGCTTTCTTACATCTGAGACTGTTCTGTTAGTAAATGTTGTATTAATCTGTTTATAGGTAGTGAGGTTAAAGACAGCTTAGTTCGAGCTTTACAATATAAATTAGATGAAGCTGTTTTAGACGTCATATCTCTGATGTTAAGTAGAAATCCTAAATGTAAACTGAAGGCAGAAGATGTAAGAGTAAGTAATACAGATGTTGTTGACCTTATTTGGTAACATGTTCTTACACTTGAAAAAAAAAATTGTTTTGGTGCACATTTCAATGAAGTATTTATTAACATATTTATTTTTAAAAAATAATGAATAGAAAAGACATTTAAGAATAGTAAAAATCCTTTACAACTAAACTAAAAATTCATCGTACTACCATTAACTTGAAATTTCCTTGTATCTAATTGATTGGATAGAGGATATTTAATGGCACGTCTTTGATTTTAACAGATTTAATAGGAGAAATTGTGAACCCTTGTGTATATTCTATGTTTAATCTTTTACATTGTTTGTATTTTCTTGTATATAGTTTATACAGAACATGGAGGATGGTGTGAGTAAAGTTATACAGTTATCTATACCAGCTCATGCTATGATGTATCTATTTGCTCTAATGTATTATCTTAGACAGAATTTACTACAGTTTCTTCATACACCAAACTATGACAGCAATGATCCTGAAGATCAGTTCCAGGTAATTATATTGTAAATGATGAATTAATGACACACTGTTACAGGTAGACAACTATAATTAAACTGCAATAATACCATGCTCAGTCAAAAGAATAAAAACAGAATTCATATGAAAACAAGGATGTAGAAACAATAGAAGTTCCTTAATATCTGTTTATCATTAATTACCTATACTAAATGCTATAGTAGCAAATAATGAATTTATTAACAATATTTGGTATTTTAAATCTACTATGTTTTTTTTAATTTTAGGATGTTATAAATGATGAATATGAAGCTATTAAAAGAGAAAATGTGTTTCTTTATATCAGACCACCAGCTAGTGGAAAAGGTAAAAATCTAATGCATTTTCCTGTTCAATTAACTGTATTTTATTGTTTTTGTGGGATATGACTTTCTATATAAGGAATCAACATTTCAAGTTGTTTTGTTTTAGTAGTACTCTGTACTTTATCGAAATTGTATTGTCATGTAGTTAAGCATTGGACTCACAACTGCAATATTTCAGGTTTGAATACCAGGATGGGTCGAGAAAGAATTTCAGAATTTTCCAAAACTATTTCATGATTAACATTTAAGATGCTGCCAATGAAATAATGACTAGTTGTTTTGACAGCTATGTACACATTTGTACTGGAAACGGAAATTTCTTGACATAATGGTACTTTCCCTCGGCTCCATAAGTTGCAAATAATATTACTAATGAAATAATTGAAGTATAGGTAATATTCCACAAGCAAAAGACTGTATTAGATTTAGAGTTGCTTTATTCCAGGGCCCTGTTTCACAAAAACTTAAATCTCCTTAAAATTGTCATAAACTAAAATTTCATCCTAACTTAAGATAGGTGAGTTTCACAAAATGATTTTAAGCATTTTATCTAAAATTCACTAGAATAATATTTTAAGTTAAGTTTTAATCTTTACTTAAAATAGTGGTGTTTCACAAAACTTTTTTAGGGACAATTTGAACTAAATTTATTTTAATTTAGGACAGTCGTCTCATTCTCCTAACTTAAGATCACAACGTTAAAAAACATTGATTAGGGCTTAGTTGTTAGATCTATTGCGACAGATAGATCTATTTGGAATAAATGATAATACTCTGGCTAATGGCAACTGGGTCACCTAATTTTAACATACCATCATCATTCACAAAAATATTTCTCGCTCATTTTATTTACGTGGCATGGAAAATACAGCTACGGTCCATCCGTTTATTTTATTGTAAGACAAATTAAGCATTAGATGATGCCCAAATGCTTTTATTACTGTTTTATATATATAACAAAACAATTTTGAAATAATTCAATTTTAATATCTTTGATTGTTATCCCCTGTCTGTCTGTCTGTCTGTCTATCTGTCCATCTTTTCATTGGTCCGTCTGTGTGTCCGTCACACTTTTTGGGACACAATAACTCCCCTCTGATTGAGCTAGAATGTTCGAATGTTCTGCTTAGGATAAGCAGAGATAAGCAGTTTAATTGGTTGATGCATTGGGAGACGATAACTTTAGTTCCAATTAAGTGAGAGTGATGTAATTTGGTGTATAGTTTCATTAAATTATTACCTTGACTAAGTTTGATAATGAGCATTTTCCACTATGGCTAAGCATAGATAGTAAATTTGATTGGTTGAGACTTTGGAACACGATAACTTTGCCTTGTCTAAGTTCCATGATGAGAATTTTATGCTTAGGGTAAGTAGCAGAAAGCAGTTTGATTTGCCAAAACTTTGGAACATAACAACTCTGCTTTTAATTGAGGTAAAATGTTTAAACTTGATGTAGATGTTCATTAGGTGAATGTCTTGACTTTAGTTCAATGATTAACATTTCCTGCTAAGGCTAACTGATGGAGAGTGATGAAATGTAGTGCATAGGTTCACTATCAAGTACTTCAAAACCTTAGACAAAGTAATCAGTTTAATTGCTCAATACTTTTGAAAAAGATAAATGTGTGCATTTAAATAATATGTGTCATCTATTTATTTTGTAATTCTGGCGGGAGACATTAGCCTCACTGTTTACTTGTTTATTTTGAAAATATTCATAAAACACACAATGAAACAATGTTGGAGCCAATGGTATTTTATCTTGGAAATAAAAATCAAAGGCTAAAATCTGAAAAATGTCATAGGTAAATTTTTAGCTTGTGGACACTCTATATGTCACAGTATTTTATTGATGAAAGATAAAATGTATGCTTATAACTCAAAGATCTTGGTGCCTTTCAACTCCCTGGATTTATGGTCCCTGCTTGAACAAAATCACGTTTTTAGCTTGTGATCTCTCTAGAGTTCACAATATTCATCCATAGTGGAAAAGTAATACCAAGGTTGTGGTCCCTCTAGAGGTCACAATTTTTATCCTATTTTGATGAAACTTAAAATATTTGTTTATATCCCAAAGATCGGATTGTAACTTCCTGGATTATGGCCTCTGGTCGTGCGTCAAATCTTCTTTTTTTAGCTTGTTCTCTGTCCATCTCTTGCAAAAAGTGGGCGTATCTTACATGGCAACCTCTTATTGTTTTATTTTATAGGTATAGCATGTATCAGTGTATCTTTAGTTGATTCAACTGGTTCACCAGTTAAAGTATTAAACTGTCCATATCCCACATCAATGACAACATCTGGTATACTGAGTTCTGATGATTTTGATCAACTTTTACATACAGTACGCCATGAGCCATCACCTGATACTACAAAACCAGGTACAAGAAAACTTTAATACAAAATATCTGGAATTAACAACTCTTCAGTATAGACATGAGAGTATGTGTCCGACATATAAATTCACTGATATAATTATTTATTAGTTATCAGTGCAAAAGTAAAAAAAAATGTGTCCCTTCTCATTGAGAGAGCACCTTATTTTGAAGTCTATTAAAATCTGGTTTGGCCTTCTCTTTGGCTTGCTTCTACCTTAGTTACCCATTTTAAGTAGGTGGCTGTAATTTTCATATTTACTAGATGATCGTGAATGAACAACATATCAACAGTTTAATAAGAAATCTCTTATATAGTATGTTCAGTTCGTAACCAATCAAATAATGACAGTCTCATGATTAATGTACTTTGTGAACAATGGATAGATCAAGATATCAAACTTAAATTGTGTGAAAATTTTGTGACTATTCATTATTACCACACATAGACCAGCTATGTTTGATAAATATCTTTAGACATATTATGGTTTTATATATTTTGTTGAAGTTGATTGCATTATAAATTTTAATTCTAATTTCTACAGGCCCAACAGCATTAATACAGTTTAAGATATGGGATAGATTTAATAATAAATCTGAGATGAAAAATTTGATAGATAAATTAACATCAGCTGTTAAACATGCTTTGTGTGATGTTATATTAGAGTTCAATCTATTAACGGCACCTATATGTCATATACCTAGAAGTCATTCAGAACCAGACCTACTACATTCTTCAGTGCCATCATCTCCTGTTAGTCCTAAAGGTATGTATACAAATTTAAAACCATAACATGTCGGTAGTAAAAATTCCATAAAAAAGGTTAGATGGTATATTAATGAAGATTAGTTAATAATCAAAGTGAAATACCAGTATTAAAAACACAGCATTCAAACTTGATTTGATTGAAAAATCATTATGAATAGGTGTGTTCAGAAATCGAGAATTTGGTTCAGACTTTATTATAACCATCTTTTGTCCATCATCATCTTCAATAGAAGGCTTGATCTCGCTTTAACTATGTACATTTTATCAAGGCCTTCACGTAATACCCTGCATATTTCGACACTAATTTCGATTGGGTACAAGCCCAACTTGTGATTATCTCGTGCTTTCCAACTAACATGTCTACCTGTGATAATCGAGTTGCAAAGTTCAAGGTTCGTTCACTGTCAAAGGTTTCCTTGGAGGTCGCTATGTCACAACCTCTGATTGGACGCTACTGTTCATGTGTCTGGAGATAACGTAACTATAAGTTCTGGAATTGTGAAGTAATCTAGCAACGTCTAGATATTGTAAAACTCGCAGTTGTTGCTTCATATGTTGTAAAACTTCCAGTCATTGCTTCATATGTTGTAAAACTTGCAGTCATTGCTTCAGGAACATGGTCCATCATTTACATAGCTGTAAACATGTATATATATAAGAATGGGTCAGTACAATGAAGTCTGCAGAAAATTCACACCTTTGTCTTATATATTGTTTTTTTGCTCAGGATTTCAATTGTGTCTGATTGTATATGAATTAATGCATAATAAAAGAAATTTATTGATATTTTTATTTGCTTTTTAGGTGACAAACATGATAGACGACACTCTATTATTGGAAAAAGATTTTCTGATTCATTACAGTTAAAGCCAATTGTCCAATCAGCTTCTCCATTGCAATCTTTAAAGAATCGTATGCCATCAAAAAGCAAATTTTCCACACCTCCTCCTCAAAGTTCCCTGGTAATTATAATAATTGTAATACAAATTGGATGAAATTTATATATGAAACAGCAGTTAAAGAGCTCAATCTGTGTTCACATCAATGGATGTTGAATTTGGCATTTTAATGAGACACTTTATCCCTATGTGCCACTTTACCAAGGTTCAAATGTCTATGCTAGGTAAAATCAGTTTATGAAAATTTTATTATCTCAAGTGACTCAAGGGAGGAATAAGGACATTACAGATTGTAGAGAAATGTAAACTCCTAGGTGGCAACATTAAGTGTTGGTTTTGGATCATGGTTTATTGTGTGTACATGCAAAAAGAGATTTTGTAAAGTGAATTCTATTTTGAATTTAGATGTTTGAGTTTCCTGATACTGCAGCCATTTCAACAACAGAACTTCCTTCTTTAAGCAGAGAAGTCAGTCCCACCAGTTCCCCGTTGAAAGAAGTGAGGATGAAATATGAATCGGGACAAAGAGGAAACCTTCACACTGTTTATCCATCTGTATTAAGACCATTTATAAACTACTGCTCAAAATTAGGTAGTTTCAATATTTTATTTACTCTTTAATAAGTAAAATAAAGGGGTGGTAAGGTCTTAAACAGGAACTGTGTCAAGGTGAGGTCTCAATAAATTCCATTAATTTCCTATGTATTATACTCTGACACAAAAGTTAACCCGGAAAGAAGGAGAGGTTAGTTTTTTGACTCAACAATCTTTGTGCGATGAGGCCTAGGTTAATAGAATTTTATTTTATTTACTACATGTAACTTTCTAGTATTAAAGCAAAAAAGATATTATATGCAGCTTTTTCTATAGGCCTGGTTTTTTTTTTTATTGTTTAGTAAACTTGACAAATCAAATAACAGTATCCGCAAAGAGATCTGTATAAGCTACTAGTCTGAATAGAGTGCGAGCTGTTTCGTAACCTTCGTAACCCGACTGTTTCATACTTAGTTCATTCGTACCTCACATGAGCTGTTTCGTACCTTGGTTAATTTCAAGAGAACAAGAGAACTTTTGCATGCACTTTAGCTTAACCCTCCTCATTTTGCACCCAGACTTGGGACCGGCAGAATGGGGTCAATAATCAACACCAGATTAGATATTTTGCAATTGTTTTTTGACTGCTTTAACAATCGTCAATCAATGATCTTCAATAATCACAACTCACTCAGCAGAATGGGTTCAATAATCAACACCAGATTAAATATTTTTCAATCGTTTTTTTTAAACTGCTTTAACAATCGCCAATCAATTATCGACAATAATCACAACTCACTTGCCAGAATGGGTTAAATAATCAACACCAGATTAAAAACAACAAAAGGCAGGAAGCAGTGTTGGTTTTGTTTTTTTTCAACCGTTTATTATTTCAATTTATTTCAACAACATATAGGTTTATTTCAATTTGTTTCAATTTGTTTCAATTTGTTTCAATTTATTTCAATTTATTTCAATTCATTTCAATTCATTTCAATTTATTTCAATTTTAAATTTATTTCAACTTATATCAACTATTTCAGGTACAAATCACATGTGTGTTCTAATTCTGGTTCGTCAGCCATTTTTATAAATTTCACGTAGCAATTGGATTTTATCAAATCGTTTAATTATGTTTCACCTTTATTTCAACAACATATAGGAAAAGGTATGAATCAGTTTGAGGTATGAAGTGAGGTACGAATGAACTAAGTATGAAACAGCTTACACCCGGCTAAATATTGTATAGAAAGATGTTTTTAGTTTCTTTTGGATCCAGCTCATAATATCAATCCAGTTTCTTATTGAATAATTGAATCGAACAAGCCGGTACAGAACACTTTTTTATTGTTTAAAATGATATTTATTGATTTTTATTCCAGGTACACCTTCCATCAACAGATTTGAGCTTAATTTGTTATCTATGTTTTCTGTTGATTATGCACTTAAAGAAATCCAGAATATCTTACCTACCATTGCTTCTAATCTAACATTTACTCTCTTTAAACTTGTTGATAAACAAGGCGAGTTATTAACTGGTGTTCAATACTTTCCTTGTAGAAGTCCCGTACAGGTAAATATCTAATAAATCATATTTTTCTGTTTTAAGGCACACTTTTCTCATTAGCGTCACAAATTTACGTATGACTTGCAGATCTCTTTCCAATTTTTGACTGATCTGTTTTAACAATTTAGTCAAAAAATGTTCTTGCATTTATGGTCACTTGAATCACATGGTCTTTGAATTATAAAATTCACTCATCAAATAGAAGACTTGTTAAAGTTTGGTATATTTCTATTGCATTGTGCATCTAAATTTGATCCTTTATTTTTTAAAGCCAGCAGAAGATAATATGGAGACCTCTCTCGATGCAGCCAGAAAAAAATTAACGACGGAAAAAGATTCTCCGGAGTTTCTCATTTTAGGACGTGATGTAGATCAGTGGCGATCCGTTGTTTTACATGAGAATATGGATTCAGAGTTTCCTTCAACTAAGAGTAAGTTATGTACATTGTCTGCTTTGTGGGTCAGCTTCCTGTTTGTCAGCTCAATTAAGAGAGAGGTTAGATAGGCTATATCTGTTCCGGCATTCGTTTCTTTTAAATAAAATATTGTTCAGGGTTAAAAAATCTCTATATTATTTAATAAAAAACAGAGGTCTTGAGATATATGCAGTTTTGGCATTAGCTCCATGGACACATGGACATGTTAGTCCATGTTTGAAAAAAATGATTATATAAATATTTTTTCTATGTTACTATTTTTTGATTTGGGACAAAATGTTGTATGTTTCTGATCCATACATATTTTTCAGATTTAGGAAATCAGAAGTACCAACCATATGTCTTCATAGATCAAGGATCAACTGATGCTTTATCACATTTTAGAGCAGAACAAGAGTTTGTTCCTCGTCAAAATTTGTTACTTATGTTTATACAGGGTAAACAGGTGGGTTTTGTGCTAGATAAATCAAAACAAGCTTTCTCTATATAAATCAACAATATTTACATTGTCAAGCCATTATTAGATTTCTAGGAGAGCAAATATAAATCATGGTGTCATCGTGAATTGCAATTGGAGTTAAGGGCGTTGATCAGTCTAACATGCACATTTTAAAAAAAACCAGCGTTGTAATTTTTGTTGATATGATATATTTTGTTATTTTGGTTGGTAAACTACATATTAACCACCCCAAAAATACCAATTTTAATTACCAAACTTGGCCCAAAAGCAATTTTGATAAAGTGTGCTGATGACAACAAAAGTTAAATTTTCTCAGTTATGCCTGCATAGATTTGCATCAAATTTGGCATGAACAAGGCTAATTGCAAGTCCAAAAAAGCTACTGGACAATTTTTGGCTATAGACTGTGGTTTGTCTGGTATCCCTGGAAACACAAAAAACATTGAGTTTTCTTGGAAATTCTATTTGTACATGCTAAAAAAAGATATCGATAATCACTTCAGTAGATGGAAAGTAGAGGTTATAAGCTACATTTCCTAAGGACGGCAACTATTGATTTTGGTGCATGTCCCAACCCCCAGGGACAGAGCCATGCCCAATTTTTGTGTTTGTCATATACAGGTCACAATTCTGAATGGATTATCTTGGAACTTAGCATATGTATTCCTTATAGCCAAAGGACGGCAACTATTGATTTTGGTGCATGCTTTGACCCCCAAGGCAAAGCCACATCCATTTTTTGTGCTTAGCGTCTTAAGGCCACAGACTGCAATTCTGAATGGATCATTTTGGAACTTTGCATATTTATTCCTTATACTGTAAAGACAGCAATTATTGATTTTGGTGCATGCCCCGACCCCCAGGAGTCTGGACGTATATTGCAGCGGTACCGATGCTCTTGTTAATTTTATGCTATTATCATCCGGGGTTTATGGACCTGCTTATCAGTCCAACCTCGATGATGGGTTGTATGTTCAATTGGGGTTGGGGGTGTAAGATTGAACATACAATAATTGAACAACTCACTTCTTCTTGGTATAATTCTATATTCTTGTAACAATACTTGACAATAATAATATATCTGCAATAATGACCCAATGGCTAGGTAACTTAATAAGGAACAGTGTCTAAATAATAACTTATCAGAGACCTGTCCTTCAGTATGCCCTCCTACCTGCCTGTGGCCAACTGCCTACAATCTACAATCTTTCATTTAATATACTAGAGGTTACTTGGTAACAATAAACAACAAATAATAATTATATATATTTAAACTTAAATATTTTATAGTTGTTAAAGGAGTAGTATTTAAGTGACATCCATTCCTTCATTTACTAAAGTGACTAACTGGACCTTGATTATGTAATGTTTATAAATGGAATCCATCTTGAGTGTAATGTCATATACTCCCTTTACTAAACCAACTTATTCATATTATTAAGGAATAGTGGTCAGAAGCCTTCTTGAGTTCTTTGTGTTAATAGAGTTACTTCCCTTGATTAATAAAAGGCTTTGATCCTAGATGAAATTCTGGGATGGAGTGAAATGGAAGATGGCTGTTTTTAATTAGCTCTTCTGATTGTCATAAACAATCCAGGCCATCTTGTGGCCTATACACCCCAATACCACATGGTGGAGATGCCAAACTCCCATTTCTAGTATGTAGAATATGAAGAACTAGTTTTCAAGTGATATTTTTGAATTGTTACCAAGAATTGACTTGTGATGTGAGGAGCACATGTTTTGAGATTTGGACTCATAATTGTGGAGCACATTCTCCCATTATTCAACAGATTTTGGGAATCTACTTTATTCTGAGGAGTAAACTTTCATCAGAAGTAGACCTAGTGAGGCCTGATTAAACTCTATTTGGGTGAAATTAGTCATTCAGCAGATTTTTGGGAACCTTTATTTTCTGAGGACTACAAATTCATCAGACTTGAAATAGTGAGCCCTGATTATAAACTCTATTATTATTAATTTGTGTGAAATTAAAATCTAGCCAAAATTGCTTATGTACAGATCCAGAGACATTTCAAATAATCCAAATGAATAATAAGACTTAGTGAAGACTTAGTTAAATCCATACACATGTAGGCCTACGCTGTGTTATAATTATAAAGGCCTAATGGAAAATCTGTTTTGACATGAGTGCCAATTTTCCCATGTTAAAGTGTGGATGCCTAGAACTCTAACTACTACTAGCCTAGATCTAATTCATTTATAGTGACATAATTAATGAAGTATAGACTACAGTGTTGTACAGTGACAATCTTGGAATCAAGTTTGCTGTCTTGTGACTGTGTTGTGTAGCCTACAAGTGACATTATTTCAACTCAAGTTTGCTGTCTTGTGAACTTTTACTGAAGCCTGATGTATAAATCAATGACTTTTATCCCTAAAACTTGTAAAAGAGACAATATTTTTTTTCTTAAAACAGAATTGTGAAAGAAGGCTTTAGAAATTTTAATTTTGGCTTATAAGTAAATTCAAATTTACAACTTTCAAATTAATTTGGCAATATTCCGGTCAAATTATAATATAAACGTTTTCTGATACCATATTTGTGTGAATTATGCTGAATGGTTGTGTGAATATGTTATTATTGTTTCATGATCTTAAATATTTAGATAATTTGTTTTGCTAATTGATGTTTTCCATGTTTACAAGATGCATTATTTCTTTCTTTATTGGTTAAACTTGTAGTCATCCTGATTTGCCTTACACAATTATTTTGATAATAGTTGCTCATATAGTGAACGAATTAATCAAGGTCAATCATATTCAATGTTTGGACAAAATTGTAAACATCTTTTAACTATTTTGATTATTTTGTATACAATTACAATTATGGCTAACCGTCGGAACGAGGTTGTTGAACGCAAGAGACCTCTGTCATTTGATAGATTTGATGGGTCTGTATTAAATAGGGATCTGGCCACTGCCCATTTTTTATCTTTCGAAGATTACCTTGAGTACTCTGATGAGGAGATGAATCCTCAGACAGTTCTTGCTATCAATAAGATGATAAATCTTTTCAAACAGTCTTTAAAAGGAACCGCGAGATTGTGGATAGAGGAGAAAATATTTCGAAGTCGTGAAGATTTACGCACGCAGTTTATTAATAGATTCTCCGAAAATAAGTCTTCATTTGGTTTACACCAAGCCTATTCCTCATTCACTTACGACTCTTCTATCACTCCTGCGGAAAATGTAGAACGCTTGGAGAAATTAGCTACTCAACTTGGAGTAGGTCGCACCCAACTCAAACATAAATTTTTTTTCAATCCTCCCTACAAACTGTCAACAAGTCGTTGCCATGTCAACAAATGACACAACTACTTTGAATGACATCACAACAAAAGTTCAGTGTTTCTTTGATATAAATAACCCTGACAAAACCGTAAATCCTAGTAAGGAGGTATCCTTCTATACGTCCGACTCAGATGATCTTTCTTCATTACCAAAAGAATTAGATGAACTTAAGTTGCATGTAGCATCAGATGATCATGTCAGACACCGATCCAAACATCCAAATTATAGTCATTCGTCTTATGCTCGTGAGAAATCACTTTCACCCAGACGAAGCCCTTATTCACCTAGTCCCAAATCGCATACAAACAACCCTGGAGTTCGATCAAGACGTGATTATTCTCGTTCACCTAGTCAGTATAGATCAAGACGTGATTATTCTCGTTCACCTAGTCAACAGCGATATTCCTCGTACACAAATAGGCATTCTAAATATGTCAATAATTCTAGCCAGTCAGCTGATTGACCTATATTTTGTGACTACTGCTTGAAACCAAATCATACATGGAGATCATGTTTTCTGCGTCAGAAACACCTTTCTGCTAAAAGACAAAAACAGGATTTTCAATAGAGGGAATTTATTCTACTGCTCAGAATGAATTCCCTAAATCTAATCAAACCAAACCTATTCATTCTACTTCAGGTAAACAGAATCATTCTAGTTCTGTTTCTATTCAACTTTCAAAACGAAATTATTGCAAAGGAGAATTTTCAGATGGTCATTCAGCTTTATTATTAATTGATAGTGGTGCATCAAGGTCGATCATTTCGTCTTTACTTATTCAATCTTCACCCTATTTAAGTGGTTTGCCTGTTCATTTGTTGTCAAATCCACTTAGCTTTCGGCTTGGTAATGGCAATCTACTATTGTGTAAATATTCTATTAAGTTTTATGTGCTTATTCAAAATGTAAAGTTTACCATTCAAGCTTTTATTGCTGCCGATTTAATCGGAATTGATATCATCATTGGTCAAGAAACTTTAGCTGATTTGAATGGAAGTCTTATTTTTCGTGACAATGTATTTCATTGTAAAGCTACAACCATTCCATTTATAACCGCTCATAGTGCATATGTCAGACCTAAACATTGTCGTTACATCACTGTTCATGGTAAAGTTCCTCCTTTGTTTAGGAATCGTGAAGTTGTCATGTATTGTGGCAGTCATATTTCTGATATGTGTCCTTCAACAATTTTGGTTAAGCTGGAAAGAAATAAAGCCATTATACCAATTCATAACACAAGTGCTAAAACTTTGCATATCAGACCTACTCGACCAATTTCATTTATCTCCCTTCAAGATATTGTAAGTTATGATAATATTAACTTCACTTCTGAGTATGATCAAAATAATGTTACATCATCAAGTAATAGTAAGTCTGTTTTCAAGTCACAAATTGATTTGTCCAAAAGTGTGCTTGATCTTTCTCAAAAAGACAAATTCTATGATATGTTGTGTAAAAATCGGGAAGCTTTCAGTCTTCATGGTGAAATTGGAAAATGCCCTGACATACAAGTTGATATAGAAGTAAACGACCATCGCCCTTTCTACATTCGCCCTTATCCAAAAACAGAAGTTGAGAAAAAGATTGTGGATCAGGAATTAGAAAAGCTTGTCAAACTAGGAATTTTAGCTGTTGGTCACCAGTCGTATACATCACCAGTTCTCATTCTACCTAAGAAAGCTACTAAAGAAAAACGTGTTGTTGTTGATTTCAGGTATCTTAATTCTAAAATCAAACGTCTTAACCATCCATTTCCCCTATTATCTGACACCTTAAAGAGGATTGGTCATGCTAAACCTAATGTTATAAGTTGCTTAGATCTGAAGTCAGCATTTTTTTCACTTCCATTATCACCTAGAGCCCAACAATATACGGGTATTTCATCATATTCTGGAGGCAAACATTTTTACTTTAAACGGTTAACACAAGGCTTGAGTGTCTCACCAGCAGTTTTTCAATCTAAAATTGATGAAATATTATCAACAGTTCCTGGTAGTTATTCATTTTGTATAGCCCATCATGACGATATTATCTTATTCAGTAAAGACAACGAAGCTCACAAGAAGCATTTACAGTTAATTTTCAGTGCCTTAATTCAAAATGGACTCAAAGTTACACCAAGAAAATGTTCATTTTTCTGTCATGAAGTGGTCTATATGGGTCATAAGATTGCGATTGATAAACAAGGTTTAGTCACACTGCAGCCTTTGTCTGATAGATGCCGCTCAATCCAAAATATCCCAAGACCTACGTCAAGTAAAGATGTAAGAAAATTCATAGGTGCTGTTAACTATGTTTCCAATTTTCTCCCATACTTACAGTCAGTTCTACAACCCTTGCATAAAATTTCCAGCAAGAAATCATCATTTAAATGGTCTGCAGCACATGAAGAAGCATTTGTTATGGTTAAGTCACTACTTGTACAACCACCTATTCTGTACATGCCTAATGATAGTGGTAGGATTACCCTTTATAGTGACACCTCAAGAACAGCTACAGGATCATATCTTACCCAAATTATTGATGGTGAAGAGAGAATTCTTGGATATTATTCAAAACGACTTCCCAAGGCATGCGAGCGCTATTCAGTCACAGAATTAGAATTATTTGGTCTTCTGATCAATATCTCTAATTTCCAATATCTACTTAGAGGAGTTGAATTTGATGCTTATGTTGATCACGCTGCCATTGTCCACCTTTGTAACTCTAAACGTCCACCTTGTACCAACAGATTACAGAAACTGTTAGTCAAACTTAGTCATTATGCCTTTAAGATTGGTTACAAAAAGGGCACAGAATTAGTCCTAGCTGATTTTCTCTCCCGAAGCCCACTCGAAAGTGATTCGGAGATAGACAGTATTGTTCCTACAGCATTCGCTATTCTGAATCCAGTAACTGATAGACCTGTAACTCGTCAATGGGCCAAGACACATAACATTTCTGTACCTGCAGTTTTCCCTTCTGCCCAACATCAGACAGTATCACATAATTCGGTTGATACAGTTAATAATCAGCCTTCTGATGTTCAGAAAATCCCGACAATTTTCCAATCTCCCAAACGATCTCATATCAGGATATCAAATGATAGTTCTATTAAAGCATCATCTACCACACAAGACCCAAGGATTGTGGATGATGCTTTTCAACCTGAATCACCTGAAGAAATCGAGATACCAATTGAACTATGTATCCCACCTACACCTGTAGTTCATAATGCGGATAATGTTATTCGCACACATTTTCCTAAACAAGCTCAGCTAGATAAACTATTAAAAGTTATCAAGAAAAAGATGATCCGTGATTATAATTTACCAGTAGATAAAAATCAACTACGGTTAGAACAAGAAACTTCTCCATTCTTCAAACCTGTATATGATTTTCTCAGTCATGGTATTCTGCCTTCACACCGTAAAGCAGCAAAATCAGTCAAACACAAAAGTGAAGAATATATTATATGTGATTATATTTTGTTTCGTCTTCTCATACATAATGATAATACATTTTCTCTTCAGCTTGCAATTCCAGAATCATTATGTCATAATATTATTGCTATATATCATGATAGTTTATTATCTAGTCATCAAGGTATTGTAAGGACATATCTCACAATGCGAAAGTTATTTTATTTCCCTAGTATGTTTTCTACCATCTCATCATATATCACTAGTTGTCATAAATGTCAACAATTTAAAGGGAAAACAGACAATGTTCTGATGTATCATCCACGTATACCAACAGAGTATTGTACTTTTGATAAAATATGTTTAGATTTCAAATCTATGCCTGCATCACCAACAGGATTTAAACATATTATGGTAGTCTGTGATGAAATAACTCGTTTTCTTATCTGTATTCCCCTCAAAACATTAGATGCTGAGACTATTTGCGAAGCTATTATACAGAAGATTGTATGTATATTTGGTCCGCCATCAGTATTAATAACTGATGCCGCTTCATCGCTTACAGGAAAACTTGTCTCTATTCTTTGTTCTGCATTACAGATTGATCACAAACTTATCAGTGTATCTAATCATGGTAGTCTCATGGTGGAGAGACATATTAAGTCAATATCAGACTTGCTCAAGTTCAATTTGAACCAATATGGTACCGACTGGGTTCGATATGTGTCAACTTGCACATATGCATACAATTCCTTTGTCTCCCCACAATTAGGAAATTTTAGTCCATACGAACTTGCCTTTGGTAAGCCACCAAAGAATCTTACTTCTTTAGCTTGGAATTTCGATGGAGTTAGTAAATCCTATGAGGAGTATTTAAGTCATTTAAAGCAAAAATTCAATGCTATATCATCTTCTATGCTTGATCTTCAACGTAGACAACAAGAACATCAAAATATAAGCATTTCTCATAGTATAAGTAAAAACCCTATTTATGGACTTGGACAATTTGTCTATGTATTAAAACCATCTTCTTCATCTCTTACTTGTAACTCTAGGAAGATGAAGGCTGAATGGTGTGGTCCCTTAGTGGTTCATCAAATCTTGGACAGAACGCATTATATACTTTCCACTTTGGACGGAAAGATATTACAAGATGTTTATTCTATAAATAGACTAAAACCATGCTTTGTTCGTTCTAATGAGCCAAATAAACGTCTAACTCATATTGATCAATTACGAAAACATCTTGGTAAAACGGTAAATGATAATGTTCATGTATCTAATGATTTGACTTATCAATACACCTATGAAAATGGTTTAGTTTTGTCAGACTTTGCTGATCAAAATGTTGTATTTAATAGAGTTACTACACCTTACACTATATCTCAATGTGTGAGTTATCTAAATGATAATAAGAATTTAGCTTCAATATCTAAATTATGTCATACACAGATGGAAGAACAATTAAATTACCTAGTTGATGTCAATAATAATGATAATGTTTTTCACATCAAGAAAGGTAGAATTAAGTGTGGAAATCTACAGTTGTTATTAAATTTTAATGATGATAAACCTCATGAATGTAAATGGGTCAATATAGACCAATCTCCAGATTTAATTGACATAACTGAGAAATTACTTAGTAATAATAATCTTAGGATTACAGGAAAATTGAGTTAATAGTAAAATGTGATTTAATAATGTTCTTATTGCATGTTTATACAAAATTGTTATTAATAAAATTCTCTTGTTGTTAGTATACCTTGTAATGTATGTATTTTCAATCCTAATTCACATTCATTGTGATGTTCAAAACTGTAGTTGAGATTGTATTTGAATTTTAGGAATAATTAACGCATGTTTGTTTATAAGATACCTCTGCATAAAGGTTTGAGCAGTACTCAACAATTTAAGAATTTTAAGAAACATGTAAAATTCCACTGACAATTTGATATTTTAAATGTTCAACTTTAATGTTTTTAAGCATTTTATTTGCTTGTAATGAAGTATGATAGTGTGTGTATGCTATAATTTTGCTTCATGGTATAAGTTAACGTTTCATTTCTAAATTTTAATTCCTTACCGGAGTTTTTGTTTGAGACCGGGGGATGTCATATACTCCCTTTACTAAACCAACTTATTCATATTATTAAGGAATAGTGGTCAGAAGCCTTCTTGAGTTCTTTGTGTTAATAGAGTTACTTCCCTTGATTAATAAAAGGCTTTGATCCTAGATGAAATTCTGGGATGGAGTGAAATGGAAGATGGCTGTTTTTAATTAGCTCTTCTGATTGTCATAAACAATCCAGGCCATCTTGTGGCCTATACACCCCAATACCACAGTAAGTCTAGATTTAATATTGGGTGAATGGCTGTATTAAATACTACCTGGTCATACTATTCTGTAAAATGTTTTAAGAGTTTTTTCTTCTATTACAGATAACTGTATCAACATATAACTGGGCGAGTGATTTGTTCAACTCTTTAGAATCACATATAACTAAACTTGTACAATGGCAAAATGCTCGTGCTCATTTATTAGACAGTGTCATTAGTCAGAAGATGGGATTATTTCATCATAAAACATTCAATGATTTACCTTATACCCTTGTAAGTTTTTATTTTAAAATATAGACATGAAATTAAATTCCGTTGGTCTGAAGTGTATCCAAAAAGTGATGGAAAACCTGGAGCCGGTTGTTCAAAACTTAGTTATTTTAACGATCTGTTAAACTCTTAACGGATCATTATCTTGCTAACATGTCGTTTGTTAACTGTCCGTTAAATTTCTGTTGCTGGATTGTCAACTTCATTATCTGTTAGCTAATAGGCTGATTAAAGTTAATCCTAGAGAAAACTGTTCAATCATCGGCTGAATTTTTAATTTTTATACGCCCACATTTTCATGTGACCCTCCAGTACAAAACGAGTCGGATGTCCCACGGCTCAATTTCTAGACACTGCAAAATACACTACAGTATATGGGTCAAAACTACCAAAAAAAAAGCTGTTTCAGTCCCTTTTAAGATAAGCTTTAAATCTCAGTTTTTAAAAATTGGGACATGTGACTGGTTTTGTAGTGGAGGGTCACATATTGTTGTCGCCTCTGTCCATCCGTCCACATTTGGCGAATGTTGAAATATAGGTTTATCTCCAAAAGATTTCGGTTTATTTTGATATTAGCATGTATCGGATCGAAACTTATGGATTATGGCCCCTGATTGTACGAAAAATCTTATTTTGCTCTTGTGGACACTCTAGAGCTATAATTTTCATCCGATTTTGATGAAACTTGAAAAACATGTTTATAACCCAAAGACCTTGATATTCGCGCGTATCAGATCGTAACTTCCTGAATTATGGCCCTTGATTGTACAAAAAATCACATTTTTAGTTTGTGGTCTCTTTAGAGGTCACAATTTTATCTGATTTAAAAAAAAATGTGAATATATCATCATTACACACTAAGATCTTGGTATCTTTTGATAATCGTGCATATCCGAACGTAAATTCCTGGATTATGGCTCCTGATTGTTTGAAAAATTGCATTTTTAGCTTGCAGATTCTCTAGAGGTCACAATTTTTTTCTCAGATTTTAAAAAACATTTAAATATATCACCATTCCACCATAATGAAGGTTGAATTCGATTTTCTTGAAAATTGAAATGAAACTGCCCAACAAAACGGCCACTCTTTGTGCGCAAATTGTGTAAAAGTTTGCAATATGAAGGTTGTGGACCCTCTAGAGGTCACAATTTTTATCCGATTTTGATGAAACTTAAAACATATCTTTATATCACAAAGATCTCAGTCCTTTTTAATATTTGCGCATTTCAGACCATAACTTTCTGGATTATTGCCCCTGATTGTACAAAAAATCTCGTTTGTTTTAAGTTTGTTCTCTATCCGTCTCTTGCTAAATGTGGATGTATCCTGCCTGGCAGCCGCTGTTTTTTGGGGGGTTTTAGCATGGTTTCAATCCATCTCTTGCAAAATGTGGGCATATCTTGCCTGGCAACTGCTGGTTAGATTCAATGTACATGTATAACAACTTCATAGAAGTTAGTATTAACAAGAAACTGAAGACAGTGTAACTGTGCAGTCATTTCACAAAACTTGATTAAAGGCAAAAAATAACTGTAGAATTTCCTACAGAAAACACTGTAAAGTAATCTAAAGAATACTATAATATTTTACCATAAATCTCTAGGAAAAACTATAAGATTTGCGCAACAGAAACTGTAGAATATTTGGGGTCATTATTTCCTACAGGCCCCCAAAATTCTGTAGAATTCTATAGAATTTCATACTATAGAAAATACACACACACACACCACCAGACTTTCTAGAATGTTCCAAAGAATTCTATAGAAAACTATACTGGTATTCTATAGGACTTTTTGCTAAGGGTGTGCAGCAACTAACGCCATTTTCAAACCGATAAAGGAGCTCTACACCTTTGTTAAATGTAACGGCAAGTTAACAACAAAATTAATGTTAATGGGGCTTCAAGTAACAGACTTTCTCTCCGTTAAAGTTAACAATCCATTAACTCACATGTTAACAAGTCGTTATAAGTTAACAGCTTTGAACAAACGGCACCATTTGTGAACTTTGCAAATATGTAGTTAAATGCAGCGATAAGTTGCATAATTCAATTACCCATTAGAAAACAACAAAAAATGAAAGTACAGTGGAATTGTCAGTCCACACATGTCAAATTTATAGACAGGTGTATCCAGGCAAAAGGTGATTGGTAGTTAAGACGCTCATCCCAAACAAACACCATTGATATTTCTTTGAAATCTTTATTAAGTATTTCCTATATCTGTAAGAACAGAACTAAAAAGAATGCCAAATATAACAAAATGAATTCTTTTACTGCTTCAGGAAATGAATAGTCCATGACAATAAACAATAATTAATAATTTGTTTATTATGATTTCAGGAACAAAACCCATACACACAATCAACACATGAAAAAGAAGTATTGATACGAAATATGGCACCACCACGAGAAAATCAACGTCGTCATGGTTCTATATCTGTACGTGACAAAAATCAGATCTTAGATCATATTCCACACTTTGATGACATTTATAAAGATGAACAACCGCATATACCCATGCATAAAAATAATAAAATACCCCCCATGAAAGATCCTGTATATGTACATGGTGTACAAGCTTTGGAAATCAGAAGTTTATGTCTGAAAGGTAAGATAATATTTTATTGTAGCAGTATACCCAGAGCAGTATACTCATTACAAAAATGAAAATAGTATTAAAAAAAAACTTCATATAAAGAAAAGAAAATACCTAAAAACAAAGTACCATTTCAAACACAGCTATCAGTGTAGATAATCATAAACATTAAAATGAAATGAAATAAAGATTTAATTTGAATTGGATTGTAAGAGACATCCCTTTTCAGAATAATATATGAGAAGACATTAAAGTTACCGGTAGTCTATTGGTAACCTTAACCTTAGTTTATGATTTTAAACTAAAACAAAATAAAGTAAAATAACATCCCTATATGGAAAATTTTAAAAATAAGACTGATCTTCTGGTTAAAATGAATTTGGTGATATTTGCCTATCAAAAAGAGCTGTGATGACAAAATTTTCTTCTGCAATGAATACCTTACTAAAATAAATTGAAAAGAACATTATGTTTGTCTACAAAATACCTTGATGGAATAGTACAACCATATGATACAAAGAGATAAATATATATTCACCCAGGTATAATTAGATCATCTGTATGATCCTCTAAACTTAATTGTTACGGAGTGTAAACTAATAATGCTGGTACTCATCCATCCATTGTCTTACAAGTGTACTACATAATGGTGGCTATGTTAAGATTTGTAGATTGTCAAACACATATTTTTAGAAGTATGTCAAAGGATAGAATGTTTTTGGTGGTTATGTATTGAACATTGTGACTGTCATGGAAATATATCTTTAAGATAATTATTATTAAGAATTTTTATTATCAAAGATCTATTATGTAAGATTTAGATAAAGAGCTGGCGGTTCTTGTTACAGTAGTTCAAAAAATAGATAATGAAAAAGGAATATGTTGAAAATTCCATTCAAATTACTTTATTCTGAGCAAAGTTTTTGAAGTTTTGACAAAATGTAGCGTAGAGTCCTGATTGCTGATTTATCATTAAACCTTGCAGGTGTTCTAATCCATTTAAATCTTGGCCATCCATTGGTCTAGAGAGTTGATTATAGGCTTGTCATGTGAATGAATTCTAAATGATAGTTTATATAACATTTGAATCAAAATAGGAAGATTAAGCTCTTACATAATGCATCTGTAAGAATTTTTTTTTTATATATTGCCATTTCCATAAAGAGTGATCACAGGGGCTAGACAAAAAACAAATGGCAAAAACCTGAATGCATGAAGTAAAAAGATCACAATTCTCTATTGCAAGGGAAAACTAGTAAAAAGTCATAGATCTTCACTTCAAATTAATATGCTTGAATATCGTTATATATTGTCGTCGCCCTTGTCCGTCCATCTGTATGTCCACCCATGCATTATCCTCAATTTGATTGTGGACACTCTACAGGTCACAAGTTTTATCCGATTTTGATGAAAATTAAAATAAGTATATCTCGCATATTGGACTGTAAATTCCTGGATTATGGCACCTGATTGTACGAAAAAATTGCAAGTTCCTGGATTATGGCCCCTGATTTTATGACAAATCGCTGTGGTTTTTTTTGTTGCTTGTTCTCCATCCATCTCTTGCAAAATGTGGGCATATCTTCCATGGCAACCGCTTGTTATATAAGAACAGCATTGGAATGAGTTTTCAAATATCAAGGCTTTCATTATGATAAATATTTGTTATAAGATTCATATTGAATTGCTAAATTTTACAGATGCTGAGAAATTTAATAAATTAAGTCAACTTCACAATAGCTGGTTAATAAAAACACCAGGCAACCCAGCGGTTAATGTAAGTTTGTTTTTTATGGGATAAATGTGTTTTTTTTTCGCAATTTCATGCTACCTTCCCACAACTGGCAGCAAACATGAAAAAAGCTAAAATGCTGTATATTGAAATATGTTATAAGAATCTGGTGATGCTTGCTAGTTTCCATCCGTTACGCCACATGACCAATAGAATTGGACATCCAAATCAGAATTCCGAATAAACCAACATGGCTTTATTTGCTAATTTATGAATGTTATTCTGCAGGAAGATCACCTGAAGTTGTTAAAACAAAGTTCTCGATTGTTTCACTATTGTGCCACACCAATCCTGTTTTCTTCACAATGGCGCCATCGTGTTGTAGAAAAAACTAAACCTCATGGCAAACAGGATACTTGCATAGCATCAACCCCACCAATGACTGACCTTCCAAAATCAGTAAGTAATTAAGTAAAATCCAGCTGAAGTTTACTAATAAATGAGAAAGATGTATGAAAGGGTTGACATGTATGAAATGGAATTGTTGAAATGTATTATTATAAAAACGTAAAAGGGCGATAATCCAGATAAAATTAGGAAAACTCTCAAATTTAACAATTAAGGAACAGATAGATATTGTTCCAAGTAAAAAGGACACTAATGAAACCTGTCATAGTTGTGTCGTAGATCCAATTATTGTGGTTTTTGTTTAATGGTTATTAACTCAGTACCACGGCTTCCACTTCAAAATTTTCACTGCCGGTCATTTTTGATAACGCACGAAAACTTTTCAAAGTAAATTCATATTTCATGTTTTTTATTCATGGTAGGGTATTGTGAATTCACCTGTCTATACCACTTTGTCAGCATGGGGTACACACAAAAATATATATTGGACTTAAAAATGAAATATTAGTAAGGCTTAGGATAGTTATTTATTAATTAAATATTCCGTTTTGGCTACTTAAATAACGAAATAGCTGAATTACCGTAAAAAAAACTTTTCAGTAGCCCACGCATAATTACAACTTGCTCTGTAGATAAATATATAATTATCCACGGCATATATCTCACATTTATTGGTTTTAGACCATCTCTTATCGGGGGGTCATGGTGGCTTGCTAGCCTGGAGGTCGGGTGTTCGATCCCTGCACTGGCTGAGAAAGTTCATCCAGATTTTCCAGTGTGGTTCCCCCTTGTCAGTGATGCAGGTCGAAGGGACTGACAAGGACAGCTGTCTAGTTGTTCGGATGGGACGAAAAACTGAGGTCCTGTGTACACATTGGCGTGCACGTAAAAGATCCCTTGACAGTTGGAATTCGATACAAGAGTAGGCGGTAGTGCCGCTGTCCGGGCAAAATTTCCTTCATAGCACACTATATGGCGTATGCCCATCTTCGTTTGCCCAGTCGGAGCAGAACAGTAGGACGTTAAACCCCATTTCATTTCATTTCCATCTCTTATGGAATTACGGGCCGCAAAATTGTGACGTAAATCCTAATAATTTACAACTAAATGACAAACGGATAACTAACTTCACAGCTAGCGACACTAGCGCCCCCTAGAATATCGTTGTGTATAAGATTACACAGCATTTTTACTACACGTGGAATTATCAATATTGCTGCACAATAGAACTGGAATACGTAATTTTCTTAAGTTTTCGGTAAGCAAGTTAACTAATCTCTAGATTTTATTTCTACAATTCCCACAAGGCGGTAATACCGATTTAAAAAAATTTAAATACATTTTTCTCCCAACACGTACGTTGTTGAGGATTTGCGTAATTTCTATGCTGTTTTTATTTGATATGGCAGTTGGTTGGATTCGAAGAGCAGTACTTCATATCAATTGCCTTTTTTCGAAGATCATAATAACATTGTTTACATCGTGCGTGACCGTAATAACGGTAAACGGCTTTGTTGTAGAAATTTCTTATGACACGTGGACAATACTTGAATGATTAACAATGGACCACTTCACGCCATTGATTAGATTCCCACCTATCAATTTACTACCAGACACTCATCATTAATTATCAACACAACACTCGGTATAATCTGTTGATGACTATGTATACAACTCTATAACACCAATCAGCAGATTATGTGGCTTCTATACATGTGCATTATTCTGTACTGGCCGTACAATTGTATAGTTACATAGTGGAGGTAGAGCGTAGCCATGTTTGGAAATTAGGTTTTGAAAAAAAAGGTTCTCTTTCCGGCATGCAAAATGACCGTTGGGTCAGATCTAGTTACGGTCATTTTCCATAGCCCTAGGTCTTGACCGACATATACGGCCGACGTGGAACCCATGCTCAGTACCTATTTATCTTCTCAGTGTTGGCATCTTCTGTTAATTTTTTACTTTATTTGATCTATATGATAATAAAAAATCTCACAAATTTGCAGACAATATAAACTAATTTGGCTTGAGTTTCAATCGTTTGATCAATATATTTTTTATCCTGTATCATTACCAGGGTACATATATTTCTCATTTAAAATATGAATTGACAAAAAACGAGTAGGTGTCATTAAAACACAAAAGGTTAGTCTAGTTGCAGTCTATTATATTTTCTAGTAGGTATATTGGTATAAATGCCACAATTTTTATAACTTGCCTTTGTCATTGTTGTTTATTACATTCCATTGATTGAAGAAACCTTGAGAATTGTTTAGCTCTACTGGTTAATGATTGAGATGATTGATTTATTTGTGATAAATCAATGTGAAATGAATGAACTTATTCATTTGTGTAAAAAAAACAATGCCACTCCATTAAACAAGAAAATTTGACATTAAACAAACCATAAACACATCTCCTATTATCAGCTTTTAAACTACTGATAAAACTACTGTCTAGAGTTATTAAAACAGACAAAAAAAAGTATTGAAATGTAAATATCAATTTGAGAATACTGGTAGTATTGTCATGTTAATAGTAATACGCAGGACAATTCTATTATATACTATTACTATTTATTACTTATATTCTTCTTGTGGCATTTGGTAACTATTACACATACTTATGAAAAACAGGCACTAATATATTTAGGGGATGTTTCGAATAATATGTTTATTTTGAAATTCTCTCAGCATTATGAAGCTCATATGTTGAAGGAAAAAAAAAGAGAATAGTCTTCAAAACATTACCTAAATACATTAGTAGCAGTTTACCATAAGTAGAATATGTTAAAGTTTATGATTTATTACTGGGCAACATTTCGACTAGGATTCTCTAGTCTTTTCACACAAAAAAATAATCTTGAACTAATAATCTTTTTTTGCAAGCACTTCCAAACATTTATGGCAAGGTTTAGGGGTATTTGTGTGGAGGTATACACCACAAATTAAGACTAGATTATCCTTAGTAATAAACAGTAATTTTATTCAATCCTTATTTTTAGTAATTTTATTCCATCAAAAATTGTATTTCCAGTTCAGTTACTAAATACAATGTTGAAACAAACTTCAGATGAACTAATTTTCCTTTCTAATAGCTCAGTATTACCACAAATGTTTTTTGCACAATTTTTATTGATTTGTCCGGTGTCATTTGATAAAATCAGCTCATCATATTGTCAGAAGTAAATCTGTTAATCTAGTTTTATTATAGTTATGTGTTGATGACATAACATCTTCATCTGTTGCCACAGCTTAATTACATAATTATGTATATAAGACTTCATTTTTACTGATCTTACTTGATAATTAATAGGCGGGTTGGATGGCTGAATGGTTAGCGTGCGCGCGCTGTATCATAAAGTCTGTCATTGAGTCGACTGCCGTGGTTTCGAATCCCCGGTTGTACGTGGCAAGGAGTAGGGTCACCTGTCCAACCCCTTGGGTTTTCTCCGGGTCCTCCGGTTTCCTTCCACTGCTAAAGACCCCTACGCGCAAGCGAATTATTGAAATAAAATTAAAAACCATATGTTAGTCCCGAAATGACCTAGTTTGTGTCGAATGGACGTTAAACCCCATTTCTCTCTCTCTCTCTTGATAATTAATTATGTAAGCCATTCAACATAGAATAACTATATGTCCTGTATTTTATTAGATCTGTTTGTGATGATTTTATACACCAAATATAGTGGGCCAGCTAAGTGTAACAATCTTTAAATCTGGATACATTATACAAGCACTAAAATTTGCACGGGTGTCTGTTTGAGGTCATTTATTAATCAGCCACTTTAATTTTTAAAATGGCTGTCATTTTCCAAGATGGCTGCCATTTTTTGTTTTTCTTTCACATAATTTTACTCTCTGGACCAATTGCAAGGATTTTTATACATGTCTGAACATCTGGGCATCCTTTCACATTTGTTTGTGGCCAATCTAGAGGTCACAATTTGTATCCAATTATGATGAAACTTAAAATGTGTGTTTATAACCCCAAGATCCAAGATAGTTTCCAGTTTAATGCGCATCGGATGGCAACTTCTTGCATTATGGCCCCCTACCTTTTACTTATAGTGAAATATGTGCAAAGGTTGTGGGCCCTCCAGAGGTCACAATTTTTGGTCCAATTCAGTTGAAACTTATGATACGTTAACAATCAAAAGATCTTGGAGGAGTTTGATTTATGGTCTGCATCAGACTGCAACTTCTTGGGTTATGGCCCTTGCTTTTTACGCAAAATGTTATTTATGTACAAAGTTTGTGGACCCTCTAGAGCCCTCAATTTTTGTTCAATTTAGACGAATCTTGATATATATGTTAAAGATGAACAGGACAACATAGTGCGATATTTGGTTGCCTGGAATTGTGGCAATTTTGATACTTGTGTCCACATTTGAAAGATTATTAAAGGAGCTAAATTGACACAAATGGGTCGCAGCGCATATATAATATATATAATATGAATGTATATAAACTGATTTATGTTCCAATAATTTGTATGGGTTTAGGTTACTTTACCAGTTATTGGAAACTAGATGGAAACAATGATCAATGACTAAATGATAGACCCTATGATCTACAGCGTAAGCATTAGATCATTCATCCACATTTACATAACATATATAACAATGAATAATTAGCACTAAGCATATAATAAATAGATGTAAATATAACAGAATTTATTAAATCATGCTGATATACTTAAAACAGTAATGAATTATATACCATCTGGAGTTTTCATAGCATTATCCTTAAATCGTGCTCATCAAGCATCTATAAGGCTATACTATATACTGGAAAACTACCGGAAAACACCATGTTATACTGAATACCGGAAAAACACTAAATACCGGAAAACACCCTAAATAGGTAACCCGGAGAAGGGCTATACTATTAACCGGAAACTAACCCTAACCCTAACCCAGGCACACAGAGGACCAGACTCCGGGTTACCCATTTAGGGTGCCAGTCTCGGGTTACCTATTTAGGGTATTTTCCGGTATTTAGTATGTTTTCCAGTATTTAGTGTTTTTCCGGTATTCAGTATAACATGGT